CGTATCATCTTGTGCTGAGTTTCTCCATCTCAGCCATCTTTGCTGGACCCCCTGTGCTGGCATTTTGGAAGGGTCCGTCCTCTCCTTCGTTAATAGCCCATCAAATCCTTTCCAGGAGGGAGTCACAAAGCATGACCTGGCTTTTCTCTAATCGTGCCTTTGCCCCTCGCTGAGGGCAGACCTGGATGACATCCTGGGGATCTTTCCTGCATCAACCACGCCCCCATACATCCCCAGGATGCGTCTGTCCAAGGTCTGTGCTGTAACCTGGCCGCAGCGGCGGAAGGCGGGTCTGAGATGGGAGGTGACAGGAGCAGGCCCGGGGTCCCAGCACCCGTGGTCTCCCTCTCCCTCAGTCCCTCCCACGGAGCCTCAGCCAGGGGAAGGCGGGGCCTGGGTCACCCCCTGGAGAGGGACCTGCCCCCCAACAGCTGCCACCAAGGGGAGTGTGGGCACTGGTAGGCGGAGTCTCCCACGAGGGCTGGAAACGCGGCTCGCTGTGCTGAAACACCCAATGTCCAGATGTTGCAACTATTAATATTTGCAGCACTTTGTGAACCAAAGGGAAGACACTCAATAGTTGGGTTTGGCTCTGGGGCCGCCAGTTTGAGATCTTTGCCTTAGAGACTGAGGAGGCCGCAGGGCGCCCCCGTGAGCCCCAAGCCCCCGCCCCAGATACATAGCCTGCCCTCTCGTGCTTCCCTGTAACCCCCACTCACACCCAGGACCCCAGCTGTCGGCCCAAGCCGCCTCCCCCAGTGATGAGGACACTGGACGATAAACCTGGTCCTCTGTCAGCAGCTCCGCCCTCACCCCTCAGCTCCTGCGAGGCCTCTGTGACCATGAGGAGGGACAAGAATGCCCTTCTCTTAGTCAGCAGACGCCTCCTGAGCGCCCACCGCTTGCCAGGCACTGTCAATAATTTCAGGTGGGAATCCTGGGGAGGAGCCGATGTGCTCACAGGGAGACGGACAATGGAAAAAGCAAAGAGGAGTTTCCTAGAACACGCTTTGAAGATAGATAAGTCATAAGGGGACCGAAAGGGCGCAGCGTGGGGGGTGGTGATTTTAAATAGGGTGGTCAGGGAAGGCCACAGGAGAAGGTGGTGTCTGGGCCAAGACTTGAGGAAAGTAAGGGAATGAGCCGTGCTGACACATGGGACAAGAATTTCAGACAGAGGAAACCGATGTTGCAAAGGCCCTGAGGCAGAAACATGCCTGGAGCGTTCCAGGAAGAGGAGGCCCAGGTGGCTGGAGCAGACTGACAACGAGGGGGACCTGAACCTCCCCCCCATCTTGCCTAATCCCTGATCCAGGGGACCTGATCCAACCATTGGACACATTTCATTTGGTCCACAAAGTGTTACAGAAATTAAAAGTCAGTCACCAACACTTAAAAGTCAGGAGATTTCACCATAAAAATCAACATGTCCAGCTTCTCTTGGTGTGACGACATCACAGCAGCACCGAGGGCAGAGCTCAAGGGGCCTGCAGACCCCAGGCCGCCCTGTGTGGCACTTTACGTGGCTCCTGGGAGCCAGGCAGACTCCGACAGACATGCCCACAGCCACGCCACCCAAAGTGGCAGGACACAGCCCCCTGCCAGCTCTTGCTCTTTTTCCACAGGTGCTGAATTATGAGGCCATGAGGAGCAGCTCCACAGAGCCCCAGAAGGCCACATGCATTGGCCCGCAGTATCTCGGTCCCCATCTGGCCAGGCAGTAGGAGCTTGGAGCATTGCCATGACCGCACGTCCCCGGTTCACTGGCCCAGCCTCTCAGCCTCTACCTGGGAAGTGGGCCCCAGCCCGACCAGACCCCCTCACCTGGGCTGGGGTGCCTCTGGCTCCCGCACCCAAGGCTGGCCCGTCTAGGGCCTATAAGCTTGCCAGGAGCCTGCAGAAACGCTCACAATCTCAAAAGAAGAACAATAAAGTTACTGACCCCTGAATATCAAAGCAAAGGGCAAAACCAAAATTAATACAGCATTGAATCAGCGACACCCTGGGGCCTTGATTTCAGTACTTCAATTTGGCATTCCAGAAAACTCTGTGATGTTCAGAAACTACCTGTAGATTTGGTTTTTCTCACTTCGCAAGAATTCCCAGGATACTGAGAAATCAGCTTCAACAGGTTCTTCAGGGTCAAATGATCGCAAAAGCAAAATGAAGGGGAAATATTTCAAATGCCTTTGGTAACTATATACTGTAATAATATATGCAGCATATATTTACATATAAAAGACATACATCCACATGGACACATATAAATAAGTGGGCACACTTTCAATATGACTGAAGTCAAATCGGCCTAGAATACTCACCCCAAAAGAGATGCAACCCCCAATAGGATGCAAGCTCCCCACGCCCCTGCAGGCCTCTCCAGGGTCCCAGCGTGCACACCTTCACTGTCCACATGGGTCCTGGGTCCTGCCTCTCTGGCCACGAGCCCCAGCTCCAGCCCAGCACTGTCTGGTCCAGCCTGGGAGGAAGTTACTGTTGGCCCAGGTTGGGTACAAGCCCCATAAGCATCTGTATATCTGAAGGCAAGACCATGGCAATTAAAGATTCGAGAAGTGAAGTTGGCCGAGGTCTCTAATTGGTGGTCCCCCAGGCTGAAAGCAGCCCTTAGATGTGTTTTCTTTGACCTGCATAATTTTTTAAAAACCTGAGCCAACTTTTAATATGGGGAATTCGGCATAAAGATTCAGATTTCCTACATCTATTGAAAATGTAGCAGCAATTGGCTGGAACCGTATAGAAACTATCCTTTAACTCTATTTTTTCTTTTGCTGAGGAAAATTTGCCCTTAGCTAACATCTGTGCCAATCTTCCTCCACTTTATTTGTGGGTCACTGCCACAGCATGGCTGACGAGTGGTGTAGGTCCAAGCCCGGGATCTGAACCCTTGAACCTGGGCTGCTGAAGTGGAGCATGCCAAACTCAACCACTACACCATGGGGCTGGCCCCCTCTTTCAAGTCTTTTATTTAAACTTTTTTTCAAAGTAGTGCATTTTGGGGATGTAAAATTCAAAAGGTACAAGAGGGTGTATGATGATAGTGAGTCTCCCTTCCAGCCTGTTCCCCAGCCCCTCCATCCCCCTCCCCAGGAATAACCAGAGGCGCCAATCTCCAAAGATGTTTCACTCACATACAAGTGTATGCATACACATTATTTCCCCCTCACAGATGGTAGCGTACTTCTCTACATCCTGTTTTATTCCAGTAGCAAGATGTCTGGGAGCTACTTCTGTATCCGTCCAGGTGAGCTCGCTCGGTCTCTTCGCCGGCTGCCCTTCAGACAGGACAGTAGCTCTCCTCTTTGCCCAGTCGCCACCGTGCCTTATAGTGTCACGCCCGGCCTGCTTCAGTCATTCGCGATTCTTGCCCTCCCCTTCGGCATCTGAGTTCGCTGACTCTGGCGCAGGTCAAGGACAGAGCGTGCCTCCCAGCCACCCGGCACCTGCCCCTGCTCGCTCCCGATGCCTGCAGTTCCTGGACTTCCCAGCAGAGGGAGACACCACTCTGCTCGCAAGACCACCCAGGGGGTCTTCCCAGGGACTGCAGTCTTGAAACGTGTGGGCAAGAGATGCTGTCTGCCCAGACATAAAGACCCTCTTAACTGGACTGGGATCCCCCTTAACTGGACTGGGATCCCCCTTAACTGGACTGGGATCCTTGCCCTCGGGTCTCCCCTTACCCTGTTTCTATCCCCGCCTGAACCTCCTGTTTTGACTGAGCCCCACCCTGAGTGCCCTCTCCTCTCCTTATAGGGACTGTCCCCTCCTTAATGGGGTGGGGAGAGGCCTTGTCCGAGTCTGGGGCCAGGGACTGAGAAACTGCCCAAGGGCACCACATAAAGACAGCATGTATCTGGGTGCCCCTCCCTGCTGAGAACCGGGGGGGGGGGGGGCCCTTTCTCCTTGCCCCCAGCACGCAGCCCCCAGCAGAGTCTTGACCTCGAAATCCGCTTTCCCTCCCTACAGTCCACACTCCCGCCAGGATCCTCTCCCTGGCCCGGCCCCTGTGCCCCTCCGCCCCACCCCCGCTGTGGTGTTGGGGTCGCCTGGAGTCCAGCTGGTGGCCAGTGCAGAGCCACCCCTTCCTGGCCCTGCCCCTCCCCATGACCCCAATCCTCCGCCAGCCACTCAAAGGCGCCTTGTTCTCCATCCAGCCCCCAGACAAAAGTCCCTCTGTCTGAAAAGACGGAATTGGGGGGAGGGGGCACCCCAACGGAGACCGTGTGGGGGCCTGCACAGACCCCAGCCGGAAGGAATGCCATGAGGAGGAGGGGCAGGAGAGGGAGGAGTGGGGAGGGGAGCCCTGCACAGTGCAGTGGCCTTATCTGGAGTGGAGGCGGGCGCCACCCCAACGCCCACTAAGTAGGCCCCGGCGTCTGGCTCCCAGCACCCTTGGGAGGAGGCCGGGCTGGGAAGGTCTGCCTGGTGCTTGGGAACCAGGTCCCCATCTCCCTAGGGCATGATGGGCTCCATGGGCATGATGCGGGGGTCTCGGTCTAAGGCCCAGCAGCCCCCACCCTCACCGCTACCCCCACGACCTCGGTCCTATCAGCATCTCCTGCCGACCTCAAGCTGTGTCAACAGCCCCAAGCGGCCTGGAAGGGGACTCTAGATCCCATCATGGCCACCAATCCCTCCTCCAGGCACAACACAGCATCTAAGTAAAAGAAATTAGGTTGTTACACCAACGCACCCCCTTCCCCCACCACCCGCCAGTCAGGAGCTCTGCTCTTAAAGCTCTGGAAACTTCCTCCTTCAGGTCCTTTTCTGAGGGGCAGGAGATTGGAGAAAGCCTGGCCCCCAATGTGAGGAGCAGAGTTCCCACCCATCCTATTCTCCCTCTGCCTCACCTGAGGCTTTGGGACCCTGGAGACCCCCCTGGGAAGTTCCCCAGCACTAGTGGCTGGAGGGGTGGGGGAACTGTCTCTTTAAGAGCAGGAATGGGGTGAGAGAACCCCTGAGCTTTAGGGAGCCCGCTCACTCGTCTGGGCGTCTGGGCTCGTCTCGCCTACCTGCCCAGGTTTGCTTAGGGCGGGGCAGCTGCGGATAAAGGCAGGACCGGGCTGCGCAGGCACCCCCCTCCCGGAACCTGGAGCCTCACGCAGCCTGGGGAGCCACACAGGTGAGCAGCTGGGGCCCTCCCGCCAGCCCCGCCTTGGCTCTGCCCCCAGACGACCCCTGCCCCTCCCTCCACGCCTCTGTTAAAGACCCTAGAAACTTCCCCCTCAGGGTCCTTTTGAGGGGGGGGGCAGATTAGAGACAGCCCCCTCCCCTAACGGGATCTTCCCCCATCATTCTACTCTTTGGGGGCTGGGGGAGCCAGCTGGGGTGAGGGTGAGGCCCACAAGTGGGATTGGGGTGCCGGGGAGACTGGAGGGTTCGGGTAGACAGGGGTTGTCTGAGTGGAGCAGAAGTGTCTGGATCGGGGGCATGTGGTGGACAGGGGTGAGGGGGGTGACTGGTGGATGGGGAATCCAGGTGGACCAGGGCTGGATTGGGGGCGTCAGAGTGGATGGGTGGGTGACTGGGTGGACTCGGGGTGTCTAGGGATTGGGAGGTGTGGGCCCTGGAGATGGCTAGGAAAAGGGGGTAGCGGCTTCCTGGGGAAGCTATCAAATGGGGAGTCAGTAGGAGATTTCAGGGGCAAGGGGGAGTCATTCTTCATACACCTGAAGGGCCTGGCCACCGTCTTGGAGGAACAGAGCGGATAGCAGAGGGTGGATGAGGGAAATAGTCCTCACACAGGTGTTAGGACCTTGGGGCCAGCGGGGAGCAGAGAGGGGTGGGCAGAGCCCCCACCCACTGGCCGCCTTCCCTCCAGGCCTTCACACGGCCGCAGTGGCTGGGGAGCCCCGGGGCCTCTTCCGGCAGCAGCCTGAGCAGGGCAGGCGAGGGCCAGGACACCAGCTCCGGCAGCCGGGCACCGCGGGAGAGCTGGCAGGGGCTGGGGGCACTGAGACCACCCGCCAGTCTCCCTGTGCTGGGGTGGCTGGGAGACATGCTGGGGACTAGGCAATGGAAGCCTCACGGTGGGCCGGGGGGCTTGGAGGATCCCGGAAGGAGGCCTAAGAGCCGAGACTGAGTCCCGGGTGACGGCACACAGCGTTAAGCGGAGTTCGCAGGGGTCAGAGGGCTGCGACTTCAACGTGGGATAATCGTAGCGGCAGCTTCATCAGGCCGTGAGGATTGTGGAGTGATCCAGCACGAAATGCTGAGAACAGCCCGGCGTGGGGTCGGCTCTCAGGGAGAACTAGCTCTTATTACGAGGGTTCCCGCCATCCCCGTTGATAAGGCCTCATGCAGTAGCTTTAGACACAGGCGGTCCTTAGACACACCCACGCCTGGAGCCAGCAGGCCCTCTGCCCACACACCCACTTGAGCTCTCCCCCAGAGTTTTTGGGGTCCTAAACACCTTAGTAATGCTCCCTAAAGCTCCAGGCCCTCTTCCTGCAAGAAAGGGATGCTCAAACCAGGATTCTGAGCCTGGCATATGGGACTAACAGGGAAGCTGCGAGGATGGCCAGGACCTGGGGTGCGGGGCATGGCGGGGTGGAGGAGGCTATGAGAACGTGCAGGAAGCGGAGAGAGACGTGAGGTGGGCTTACGTGGAGGATACGGACAGAGAGACAGGGGCCTTCTCTCCAGCTGGGGACAGGAGTCCCCTCGGGGACACAGCAGGAAACGTCACATGGGCTTCTCCCCGGGCTTGGGGGAGGGGTGTGTTCTGCCACCAGTGAGATGGGAGTTGCAGGAGTGAACACACTGCAAGGTCACCCGGCGGTGCCCAGCACAGCGTGGCTCAGAGGACATGTTAGCTCTTGCCATCAAGATTATGACAACATACGCTTGTGGCCGTGGGGCGTGGGCAGGGAGAGGGCAGGGGGACGCGCAGAGACCAGGGGCTGATCGCAGGCATGCAGGACCACAGGACGCAGGAGGATGGACTGATTCTAGACCAGGAAGGGACCAGGTGTGCTCTTCAGGCAGGCCCATGGTGGTGGGGGGCGGGCAATGGGAAGCATTCGCTGCCAGGAGGCACTTGGCAGGGATGGGGCAGAGGCGGGGGTGGGGGTGGCACAGAAACAGGGCGGAGGGGACAGGTTGGGACAGGAGATGGGGCTGGGGCTTCAGCCAGGCCGATTGGTCTCCCGGGTCTGCCCCCTGCCCCCAGCCTCCAGTTCCCTCCTCCCCACACCCAGCCCTGAGCAGCCCAAGGAGGCAGCTGGGTCCCTGTGGGGCCCAGCCCGCGGTCTGCAAAGTCTGGGCAAGGCGGGCAGGCTCCGAGCTGTCTACGGGAGACACTCCCAGCACCCCGGGCCTCCTGCCACCTGGCTCCCAACACCCCGTTTCCCAAAACACCCGAGGCCTGGAGAGGCCTGCAGAGGGACAGCTGCTGCAGGGCCAGGCCTGGTATAAATGCCCCTGCCTGGCAAGGCGACCCTGGGCACCACCTCCACCTCTCACAGCCTCAGTTTCCCCATCTGTAAGATGGGGGTAACAGCAGGCAGCGCCTCCCTCATTTGGTTGCCAGGGCGATCCACTGGAAGCCTCGCTTCGGGTCCAGTGGTTGTTACTGCTGCGCCCTCATCAGGCCGCGCTCCCACCCGGCCCCGCCCGCTGTTTCTCCTCTCCCAGCCTTTCTGCCCTGGGGCGAGCGGCATGCAGGGGTGGGGAGCAGAGTAGGAGGGGATTGGGAACCAGAGGCACCGGCCTGGCATCCTGTTGGCCCTGCTAAAGCTGGACCCTCCCCCCGGACCCCTCCAGTGCTGGCACGTCGACATGCAAGACCTGGTGGCCCTGAGCCTGCTCATCCTCCTGGCAGGTGAGTGCAGCCCGCCGAGCCCCCTTGCCCTGAGCCCCACAAGCCTCGCGTGTGTCTCTCATGCGTGTCTCTTGGGCTTTCTGCCTCCCTGTGGGGTGGTGACTATCAGGACGGCATCTCCTTGAGGGTAACAAGTGTCGCACTGGTGAGTCCAAGGGACACACAGAGACAGGACCTCTTACAGCCGCAGCTCCCAGAGCCAGAAGGTCAGCGTCCCATGTCTCCTTGAGGACCTCAAGGAGAAGGCCCGGCCCTGTGCTGCCGTGCCTCCGACACCCCCCCTACCGCTTTATTACCAGGGGTAACTGGGCGCTCAGTGGTTAGGCAGCAGGTTCCTGAAACCCTTTGTGCCTCAGTTTCCTCGTCTGTACAAGTGGAGCCAATAACAGCACCTACTTACAGAGTCATTGCGAGGATTAAACGAGTTAGTATTCGAAAGGCACTTAGAACAGAGTAAGCACTGTGTTTGTGCTTTAAATATAACTAAAAATTATTAATCTCCCTTTAACAAAGAAGCTTAGGCCCAGAGCAGAGGCGGCCCACGGCTTCTCGCCAGAACATAGTGCTCGTCCTTTGCTTCCACTGTATTCGTTTTTATCTCTCCTTGGACGAGGCTGTGTTCCATTCAGAGTCCTGATGTAAAGTGGCATGTTTAAATAAAGGGCATTCAGTTTTATAGTTAGTAAGTTGCTTTAAAGGGGACTAGGGAGCGAGCATGAGGACAAGTGCAGTGTGGAGGTGGCGGCATCAGGAGACAGCAGAGAGAATGGCTGGGACCAACATCACTGGTGGGCTTGACCGGAAGCGTGGGCCAGCCAGGTGTCTGGAAACACGGGCCAAGGGTGGGGAAAGCCACCCAGATTAAAACCTATTTCAGGAGGCAAAGTACTGGCATGGTTGGCAGGATCGGGGCTGAGTGGGGGAGTCCACATCTCCGATGTGGGCTGTGCAGAGGCAGCAAGTCTGGGGCTGGGACCTGTGCCCTCGGGAGGTGGGGAACTGTGCGTGAGGGGACCCCATCTGGAGGCCCCTGAGGCTCCCGGCTCTGCATACCAGCTTTGCTGAGGCCAGAACCACCTTTTCCTCTCTTCCCCGCTTCTCCCCACCAGGCCTGCCTGCCCTGGAAGCCAACGACCCCGAAGGTGAGTCAGACGGGCCTGCTCCAGCAGCCACACCCCTAATTCTCCCCCTAGGGGCCCGGCATCCTGGCTGTTGGCCTGGATTCACGTTCTTTGTTTCTTTCCTTGCAGATAAAAACAGTCCTTTCTACTATGGTGAGAACCGGCACCCCTCCCCTCATCTCCTCCCACCCCTCTATTTTGTGCCAAGGGTCCCACAGGGTTGGGTGAGGATCTGACGTGGGTGAAACGGAGCAGGCCCGGGCTAGGATTGAACAGAAACACAGCAGATTAGGGAATAAGACATGCCACCTGGTCCTTGGGAAGATTCTCTTCCAGCAAGAAAGTTAGACACACACAGGAAGCCAGGACAGTTGACAAGAAGCCGTTGTGATGGTTCAAATCAACGGGTGGGAGAAGGGCTGGCTTGAGAAAACTGCCCGGAGGAGGTGAGCCGTTTGACCGAGGCCTCCCGAGGCCCACAGGTTCCCCACGATCCGCCCTGCCAGCCCTCTGTCCCCACTCCCCCAACACCTGCGCCCCGGCCTCCCTGCTGTTGCTCAGACACAGCAGACACGCTCCCAGCCTCCGGACCTTTGTACCTTCTGCGCCCCCTGCCTGGAACACTTGCTGCCATATAGCCCCACGGCTCCCTCCCTCACCTCCTCAGGTCTCTGCTCAGATGTCGCCCCTCAGAGAGACCTTCCCTGACCCCTCGCCCACAAAGAGCTGCCCTTTGGCCTTCTGTCCCCTGGCTCTGCCTGTTTCTCTTCAGACTGCTCCTCCCCACCTGACCCCACATTAAGTTTCCTGTCGCTGGCTTGTGTGTGCAGTAGACGTGAGCACAGGAGGGCTGGGGTGTGTTTGTTCCCTCCACTGCCACATCCCCAGTGCCCTCCACGCCCTGGGTGTCAAGTGGATGGGGGCTTGGATGGGAGGGCACCGGCTGGCATTGAGGGCCCCCTCTGGGTTTCTCCTAGACTGGCACAGCCTCCGGGTCAGCGGGCTCATCTGTGCGGGGATTCTGTGCGCCGTGGGCATCCTGGTCCTCATGAGTGAGTGGAGGAGTGGGCGGTGGGGGGGGGGGGGGGAAAGGGGGGGGGCAAGGCAGGGCTGTGGGCCCCTCCCCTGACCATTCCCCTCCCCCCAACAGGTGGGAAATGCAAATGCAAGTTCCGCCAGAAGCCCAGGTAAGAGGAGCTCCCAACCTCACGCTGGCTAGACACCTTTCAGGGTGAAAGAGCTGGATCTTTCTGGCAGAAAGAGGCCAGGCCTCCAGGCTCTGCCCTGGAGAGTTCCTGCCACTAAGATTGCCCAGGTTTATTCCTCAGAGCTGATAATTGTCAGAGGGCCCACACCCTGAAAAGCTTTGGTCCCTGGGATGATACAACCTTACAATGGAAACAGAGCCAGGAAGCTATGTCAGGGCAACTGAGAATACTCTGGGTTTGAGGGAGAGGACAAACGGGTGGACACAGACCCCATCACTCTTGTTTCCCCAGCCACCGACCAGGGGATGCCCCACCTCTCATCACTCCAGGTAAGGCAGAGACAGAAGGGGGCTGAGGGGAACACGGGATGTGAGGGGGGTGTGTGTGCGCATGCGCCCTGGGGAGAAAGTACTCAATCCACTCTCACAGGCTGACGCATCACCTCTTCCAGGCTCTGCCCAGTAACTCCTGAGGATGGACCAGCCATAAGAGCTCGGAGGGCCTCTCTCTTTTCCCAAGTCCATGCTCGGCACAGGAGCCTGAACTCCTGGACGGAATTCTCCCTCCTCTCCTCAGATGGCTTTGCCAGGGCCTCATCCCACCTCTCACCGGAGGGGTCTCTTTGTTCAGTTTTTAATCTAAAATGATCTTGCCTCCTGCCCAATCATCCTCAAGACTCGCTCTGTGAGCTCTGGGGTGGGATATGGGGGGCCAGGAGAAGGTGGATATGTGCTGAGGGCTGGCACAGAAGCTGGCACCTGAATCTCTTTGCCGGGAAAAACCCAAAGGCCTGTACCCCTGTGACTTGGTGGATGGCATGGGGTCTGCCCTCTGCCTGCACGGCCACGGGAGCCACACGTGCAATTTAAAACTTTCTAGCAGCCAAATGGAGGCGACTTTTGAGAGTGAAGGGGGCTCTAACTAGACGCAAGGCTGGGACACTCAGGTGGACACGGGTACCATCCCAGGAAAACCAGGATACAGGATCAACCCACCAGACATGGGTACCCAGATGGCGATAATAATAGTAAGACCCTGTGACCCTCCCACTTCCCCGGGACCCCACTTTATCATCGAAGACCCTTCCTAATACCCAAATGTCCCTGTGAGGACTTCAAATAATTTCCCATGATACTCCCTAATAACACTGAAGGCCACATAGTGTGAAAACCTCCAATGCGCCTCAGACTCCCTTGAGCCACCTCAAACCCAGTAAGACCGTCAAAGTGTCCCCATGAGCGACCCCATAAGAGGCCTAAAACTCTTCAAAATACCCCAAAATATCTCCCACCATGTCCGGAGACATGACTCCAAGGAGACCCACAGTACACCTGTGACCTGTCCCTAATAATGCCCTTATATCCCCCGAACATCCCCTGGGGCCCCCAGAACGCCTGCCCGCGCTCCTTAGAGACAGCGCAGCAGCGCCACCCTCCCCAGGCCCGCCCCTCCCCCTTTCCAGTGATCTCACGGCAACGGAGGGCAGGTGCATAGCGCGTTTATTGAGCTCACACACTTTCCGTCCTCCTCCCTGTCACCCACCGGGAAGGGAACCCGGGGTTCCCGGCACCAAATCTCCCTTTGCCGCCTATTCCCCGCGCACGCGCAGTGGGTCGGCACGTCGGGCTTCCGCCTCGGCAGCAGACATGCGTACAAGCAGCAGAGGAAGTGAGCCAGACAGGCAGGGAAACCTGCCCAGCGACCGGTGACGTCATGGAGGCGGGCACTGAAAGCGATTGGCCGGATTGAGTTTAGCGGGGAGAGGAAAGCTCTCCCCTCTGTACTTTCACCGGGAGCGGGAGCGGTGTGAGTGGTTTGAGGGGGCGCTTCCAGACCACCTGGAGCTTTACACATTACCCGCATCGTGACTTCCGTATTCCGCTCCGTGCAGTGTGCCCGCCTGAGCCCCAAGTCACCCCTGGTGGGGCATCTGCCCCCATGGAGGGGCAGCTCTTGCCTTGAGCTCGGTCTGTGGTCAGCATCTCACAGGACCAGGCGTCACCTCAAATGGGTCCAAGAGGCCAGTCAAGGAGGGTCCAGAGACCTAAGACTCCGCATGCCAGCCCCCATCAACCATGTTCAGGGTCCCGTCCGGTCTCAGGCGCTGAGGTCTAACTCGTGATGCTGGTAGATCTGTGTGGGGCCCTTGAAGCAAGCAGCGAAGAGGAAGCGTCTGCCCACCAGGGCGACGTGGGCGAAGGCCCGGGGAGCCACCAAGGCTGGGGGCCCCAGCTCCTGCAGCGGCTCCAAGAGCCCCTTGTCAGGCTCCAGGCGGAAGACCTGGCTGAAGGCAAAGTCGCTGCCCAGGATGGCCAGCTGGTCCCTGGCAATGAGCAGTGGCTGAAAGACGTGGGCACCCCGTGAGGGAAGCTGCTGCAGCAGGCGGAACATGGAGCCATCCCAGCGCATGACCTGCAAAGTGCGGCTGCTGGTCAGGGCCTGGGGTCCAGGAGGGTCAGGCCTGCCGGAAGTCCTCTAGGCTCCAGAGGACTTGGGACAGCTTGGAAACAGAGGCCTGTGGGCCCCCCCACTCCCGCAGCTTTCTCATCATGTCACCACCCAGCTGCTTGGCCACAAGCTTGGGGTCAATCTTGGCCCCTCTCTCTCCCTCACACCCCATGTAGCATCAGTCAGCAACGGAATGTGGCAGTTTCACCTATAATGTCTAGATCCCTCCCATCCGCCCTGGCCACACTCCGGCCCGGCCACAGTCACCTCCCTCTGGGACCGCTGCAGCAGCCGCCCCCCGGTCTCCCCCCTCTGCCCCTGCGCCCACACACAGATGGCCTGTGCACATCTGAGTCAGGCTAGGCCTTCTAGGCTCAGAGTCCTGCCTTGGCTATACCTCGCTCCCGAAAGACAGTGTCTGCGGGGGTGAGCTGTCAGCCTGGGGGGTTCAGAGTGTGGTGTTTGTGGGTGAATGTAAGTCCTGGAGTGTGTCAGTTACAGAGCCAGGGTTTAGGGGTACAATCTGAGTCTGGGGCCAGTGTCAGTGTGGGGGATGGGGAGTGGTTTAGGGTTATCCAGCCTTGAGGGGTTACAGTCTTGGAGTCAGTGCTGGGGTGGGGTCAGAGTTCAAAGATCAACACATTAGGTGGGGTAAGAGTTGGAAAGTCAGCCTGTGAGGTCGGGTCAGAATTTAGAGGCCAATGTGCAAGGTGGGGTCAGTGCTGAAAGACCAGCCCACACCGGGTGGGCAGCGCAGAAAAGCCAGCCCTGAGTGGGAGCTGGTGGTGGGTGGGCCGGCCTGTGGCCTCTGCTGCCTGCCCCACCTGAGGGCCCAGCCTCACCATGGAGTCCCCGATGTAGCGTGTCAGGCACAGGAACACATCCCCGCCAGCCTGGAAGTGGTGTGTGGCGTAGACGTCCTCGGCCTCGGGGATGTCGGTGCGCCTCTCGAATCGGCCCCCGGACCAGTGGAAGAGCACTGGCCGCTGCGAGGCCGAGGCCAGCAGCAGGTGGGGCCGGCCATCCAGCTCCAGGGCCTCGGCGTCCGTGTCCCGGTGCCAGGCGTGCAGGCTCTGGCGCGGGTAGAAGCCGGGCCCATCCCGGCACAGCAGCGTGGTGCTGCCCGCCTTTGAGGCATCGGCCACCACGAAGCAGGGCTGCTGGTCCAGCCACAGGGTCTCGGCGTCATTGGGCCGCAGCAGCTGCCGCGGGGCCAGGGCCTGCACGGGGGCCAGGCGGAGGCCAGGGCTGGGCCGGGCCCATAGCTGCGAGCCCCCCCACAGGCGGGCAGCCAGCACAATGAGACGTGCGCCCAGCACCAGCGGCTTGCAGGCCACCACCGAGGGCGCTGCAGGAGCAGGAGGGTGGGTCAGGCCGGCGGGCGGTCACCCCCCAGCCCCGGCGGGCCATGGGGAAGGCAGGAGGCTGGACGGGCACTCACCGGACAGCTCTTCCTCGGGCCGGAAGCGCTGCAGGCTGTAGTCCCAGGAGAGGATCAGGCAGCGGCCGGCAAAGGGCTGTGCCAGGACGATGTGGGGCTCCCCCTGGTAGGAGAAGGGCTCCACGCCCAGTGCCGACTCCCCGACCGTCTGGAACCAGGACAGCTCTGGGGGTGCAGGAGAGAGTCAGGCAGGCCCCGGGGACCCCAAGGGTCCTCATGGCCGAGCCTTGGTTTCACATCTCTGAAATGAGGACCGTCACAGTGTCCACCTCATAGGGACATAGGAATCTTTTTATCTATAGATGTATTAACGCACAACACCATGGTAAGACTTTATTTTCTAAGCTGCATGGCATCATCAAATAATTGCTTAGAAACAGCATATTTATTAATTCATTTAACTTCACAAGATCCCTGTGAAGGGCCTTCCATAGTAATAATATCCACTTTACAGGTGGGCAAACTATGGCTAAGTGGCACAGGCAGCCAGGTGCCCAGCACAATCCATCCTTCCCAACTTGTGTGAAATAGGATTGCAGTGGGCACAAAGCTGTCCAGCTGGGGGCCACATTGTCCCAGCACCATCACCCCCCCCCACCCCCGGAGTTAGGACTGACCACGTCCAGACCAAGTTCCCAGTGGAACAAGAGCAGAGTGATGGGTGTAAGGCTGGCCCCGTGGGCGTGAGGATGGCTCGTCCTGGCCTCCGTCTCTTCCCCTGCTCCCCATGAGCTGCAGATGGACGTGCTACAACTCGGCTTCAACCACAAGGACCAGGACAACGCCCAGGGGCTGCTCCGCTGGCCTGGGCTGCACATCAACCCCTCTGTTTTCTTTAATTCATGAGATTTTGAGCCTCTTTGTTATAGCAACTTGGCTTTCATGGTAGCGATGTGGGCGGTTGCCCAGCGCGGCGGTGGTGGAGCCAGGCGGTTGACTCCAGGTTATAACACTTCACTCTACGTGCCGGGCCCTGTTTCCAGGTGCCAGGGCTGAGGCAATGAACCAAGCCACCAAGGATGCCCACCCAAAGGAGGATCTTTTAATAATGTCCATCAAATTATCACCCTCTGCTCAAAACCCTCCATGGCTTCCCACAGCCCTCGGGGTAAAGTCACTCTCCTCTTTGTGGCTCTCAAAGCCCTGCACAGGAGGCCCTGGGCCTTCGGCCTCATCTGTGTCCTTCCCTTCCCTCACTCCCCCAAGCCAGACCTGCCTGCTTTTGATCTCTAAACAAGACAAGCTCTATGCTGCCTCAGGGCCTTTACACTTGCAGTCCCCTTTCTCTAGCATCCCCTTCCCTCTGTACTTCACTTGCTAAATCCAGAGGCACCCCTTCAGGGAGCCCTCTCTGATGCCCCATATAAGGCAGGTCAATCTCCCCGATCACTCCCTGTGACTTATTGAATGTATGTCTCTCCACTCCCCCAGGACTGTGAGGCCAGGGCCCAGGGCTGGTCACCACAGTGTGCCTGTCACCTCTCACAGGGCTGGGCACAGAGTGGACCTCAGCGAATGTTTGTTGAATAAATGAATAAAGAGTAAGCCCCAAGTTAAGGTCTCTTCTTCTCTGAGTCCCACAGACCAAAAATATGTCTTACATCTCTTATCGTTAATATTATTAGTTATCATTATTATTTTTTTTTTGAGGAAGATTAGCCCTGAGCTAACAACTGCTGCTAATCCTCTTCTTTTTGCTGAGGAAGACTGGCCCTGAGCTCACATCTGTGCCCATCTTCCTCTACTTTATATGTGGGACGCCTACCACAGCATGGCTTGCCAAACGGTGCCATGTCTGTACCCGGGATCCGAGCCAGCGAACCCTGGGCCGCTGAAGGGGAACATGCAAACCCAACAGCTGTGCCACCAGGCCAGCCCCATTATTATTAATATTTATATCAATAACATTATTAGTATAGATATTATTATAATGTATATTATTATTTATATTATCATTTAATGATAAAACATTATTAATAATATAGATTAGTATTATAATTTAATAATTATGATAATGATAATTCCCCCATCCCGACCACTCTGCGCTTCCCCCATCCCAGTCCCGGCCACGCTCGGGCATCATTCTCTGCCTTCCTCTGAACAGGGGGTTCTGAGAGGGCAAGACCCAGGCTGTCTTTATCACTGCCATGCCCTCTGCTTTGCCCAGTAACCATAAAGTCACCAAAATATATTTATGGCAAAGCAAAATGATCATAGGAAGTATTTAGAAATAGTCAATTTTATATTAATAACAACAACAACGAGAGGGAACATTTAAAAGGAACTCCCGTCCCAGGTGCTGTGCCGACGCAGGTGTGGACAACATCACTGAATTCTTACAGCAATCTCATGGCACGATTTGTTACCCCCATTCTACAGATGAGGAAACTGAGGCTCAGGGAGCCGACACTGCTTGCTCAGGGTCTCACCGCCAGGAAATGTCAGAGCAGGGAGTGAGCTGAGCCCCTCAGCCCTGGCGGCTGTTCCCCCTGACCTCCCACCTTCTCCTGGGAGCCCCTGCTGTCCCTCCCACCCTGCCGGGAAAGCCCCCACCTATGGCTCTGCACTTGAACGTCTTGGGGTCGAGGTGATGGAGCTGCATGTGGGCCAGGGCGGAGGGGCCAGCGCAGGCCCCAGTCCCCACGCTGGCGTTCACGGTGGGCATCCACTGTAGCAGCCAGAGGACGCGGCAGTCACACTGGAACGGGTTCCCACGGAGGTCCCTGGGGCAAGAGGCCGGGGAGGGGCTGCGACCCGGCTTCCACCCCCTGGAGGCCACCTCCCCCACCCTTCCCCAGACAAGAGCTCAGGATGGGGTCCCATAGATGGTGTGAAAAATACGCAAGAACCAGCAATACTCATTTGTGCAGACCAAAACTGGGCACCAATATCTCCTCCCCTCTCAGACACTTCCAAACCCCCACCCGCCCAACCCCCTTGAGCCTCACACGTGAGTCAGGGTCTCCAGGCCTCGGAACAAGAATCTGGGGAGGGTCTCAAGGTGGTTATTGGCCAGGCTCCTGGTGGAGGGAGAGAAGGAGGAGGAACCATCAGCAGCTACCAGGATGCCCTGTGTCCCTGGGTGACGGGGCGTGGGGTGATGTCAGGGGTTGGAGCAGTGGAGGGGCGGGGCCTGGGAGGCACGCACAGGTGTGTGAGTGAGCGAAGTCCTCTGAGAGCATTCTTAGAGATGGCGCCAATCTCATTGTCCTCAATGAAGCTGTGGAGGGAAGGTGGGGTGAGGGGAAGGCCCTCAGTGCCCTGCCGTGGCTCCACAGTGGTTGGGGGAACTCACCCCATAGAAGCCACAGGCCACTGGAATAGGCTGAATTCTCCCCCACTCAGTGCTTTGCATAAACCCAGAGGAAGCCTCCCCCGAAAACTTTCCTCACCAAGGTCCCAGCGTACAATCCCGGGAGCCAAGAACTTGACCCTAGGGTCACTGCCAACCTTATAATGAACACTATCACCCCATCACCATTACTGCTACCATGACCACTAACACCAGCACTGCCACCAATACCTCCACCACCATCCGTTATGACCAACCCTCAGGCCTCTACCACTGTCGTCAACCTTAGTACCAATAATTGCCATTATCACCATCACTATGCCATGCCACCACTGTCATCAACACTGCCACCATCTTTACAAACACCAACATCACAACCCACTCCCATCATCAATACCAACACCAACACCAACACTGTCGTTACCAAACCCCACACCAGCAACACTGATAAACGTCACCAACAACACAGCCTCCATGATCAACACCAAAATGACTGCCACCATCATCACCAACACTACCACCGTTATCAAAAGCATCAGCATCAGCATCGCCAACACCAACAACATCACCATGATGCCCAGCACTCACAACTTCACCCACCACCGGTACCACAACTGCCATGATTTTCATACATACCAACACCTCCACCATCACTGCCAAACCCAGTACCAACAACATTGCCATTACACCAACACTAACATTCTACCCACAGCCAACACCAACAGCAACACCAATGCCGTCATTACCAATGCCCACACATTGATAGTCATCACTAACACTAACCCTTCAAATTTCATTACCAGTATCAACAACAGCACCATTACCATTGAGTCCACCATTTTCCTCAGCATCATCCCCACTTCATCATCCTCAATAACGCCACCACTTCTCCATGAGCAGCAGCAACAGGATCACCACCACCAACATTATCATCACCAGCAACATCAGCACCAATGCCAGCACTGTCATCGTCATCACCACCACCACCATCAGTACCACCATCACCATCATCACTACCATCACCACCCAACTCAGAATTGTTTCCTGGTAATTTGAAACATTCCCTTGGCTCCGGCCTCTCTGCCCTCTCCCTGGCCTCCCATAAGTGAGGTAGGGCCAGAAACAGTCTTGGGTCAGCCAGGCCCTTTGTGGGTCTTGATGCACAGAGAGGTGAAGTGAGCAGGCCGAGGTTACACAGCTAAGAAGGAGCCCGGACCCCACTCAAGAGGCCAGGCCTCTTGCACCTCCAGGAGAGACCCTTGTCCAGACACTTCCCCTCCAGGGCAACAAGCCCCTACCTGCCTCTGCTCTGGGAGCCACAGAGGGGCCACTGCTTCCGCTCCCGGTCCCCCATTCCTGCCCCATCCCCTGGCCTCACTCACAGGTACTGCAGGTGGGACAGGCCCGCAAACGCATCGTCCTCAATCACGGAGAAGGAGTTCGACGTGAAGAGGCTGGCGAGGAGGCAAGAAAGGAATTTTTCCAGAGTTGCTGCCCCGTCTCTGACATTTTAACCTTGGCCCCCACCCTCAACCCACATGGGCATGGTCACACACACATATGCATGCCATGTAAGTAGGTGCGTGGACACAGATGCTTCACAGACACGCGCACACACATGTGCGCACACCCCCCAGGCACGTGCATGAACACCCCCTCCCTCGAGCTAGTCGTCGCTCAGCCGGACCCCACTCACAGCAGGTGCAGGGTCGGCACCCTCAGGAAGCTGCCGGCCTTCAGCTGGGACACTCCAGTCCTGACGAGTGAGCTGGGGACATGGGCAGTGGTGGGTCAGGAGGAAACCACTGTAAGGCTTCAGTCCCACCCCAGAGCCGTCTCCCCTCTGGGAGACTCTGCATGCCACCCTGACCCTGATGTTTCTTCCCCACAACCCGGGAGACGGGCATTTGCCCCCTCGTTTGGCAAGGAGCCCAGCAGCGCTCATTCCACCCCCTGGCTAGCCCTCCCCCCGGGCCCCTGGTGCCGCCCCTGCCCTTTGGAATTTTCCCTCAGCCGCCTTCCAGATCCCAGAGGCCCCCTTTCAGGCATCCCAACATCCTTTGCTGCCCACCTCCCAAGATCCTGACGGGCCCCTGTTTCCTTGGGGCCCCTGGCATCCTGCCCCCAACCCCTGGGGTCCCGGGACTCCCATCCCCACCCTCAGGCCCCCGGAGGGCCTGACACTCACAGTGACAGCAGGCTCGGGGAGAAGTTCTCGGGCAGGTCCGGGGAGCCCTCACACAGGGCACTGTCTTTGGAGCAGGAGCAGCTCAGAGGACACTTTCCCTTTGGGGGTCTCCAGGCTGCCCCCACCCCCGCCCCTGCCAGCAGCAGCAGCAGAATGCCCGCCCCTCCCATGCCCCTCACCCCTGCGAGGCCCCGCTTCCCTCTGCCCACCCAGCTCCGCCCAGGTCGTGGCCACTACATCTCCCATGCCAGGTGCCCCTCCATCCCGCCGGCTGGCACGCTCCGCCGGCTTCTCTCGCCCCTTTCTCGATCTCTCGGTCCGTGTTTCTTCCTGTATCTCTTTGGGTCTAATTCTCTGTTTATTTCTCTTTCCCTCTCTGTCTCTCTCTTGTATTTCTGCCTCAGTGAGTTCGTCTGCTTCCCACTCTCTGTCTCTCTCTCCTTCTGTCTGTCTTTGTCTCTCTGTCTCTGTCTCTCTGTCTCTCAGTCTCTGTTGGCCTCTCTTTCTGTGTGTGTGTGTGTGTGTGTCTCCCTCTGTCTGGTGTCTTTATTTCTTGGCTCCCTACCCCCCCCTTCCCAGCTCTCTGTAAGTTTCTTCGCCTCCTCCCACGCCCCTTCTCCCAGGAGGTTTGGGAAAGGGACTCGCTGGGCACCGGGTGCGCCGGGCAAAGCAGGGTGAGAAGGAGGAGGGGGTCAGAGGCCAAAGGAAGAGCAGCCCTGGGGAAGGACTGGATGGCCCCATGGGAGGGGAGGGGCCGCCGAGGGCTGGAGCCACTCCCAGCCAGCCCCCTCCCCAGATCCCCCAGTCCACCCCACTCAAGGAGTGTGAGGATGTCACTAGGGTGAGAACCAGATGGCTCTGTGGGCAGGAGGGGGGCGGGAGGAGAAAGCACAGGGGCTGGAGCCGGCCCGGCCACTCCCAGCCTGCCCCCTCCCCTGGTTCCAGGAGGGTGTGATGGGTGCTGTCACCAAGCCCTGGAGGGGCCAGTTCAGGGCCAGCTGCTCCCTCTGGTGGCCACACTCAACAGGGCAGCTGTCTCATCCCAAAGCCATAAGCTCCCTTGCCTGCCCGGAAGTTAACCCCTTGAGTGCCCACCACCCTTTGGGGCAGGGAGCCACCCCAGCAGGAAAATGAGGATGATGCCACCCGGTTGCTTGGCGTTGACTCTGCACCAGGCCCTGTCCTAAAAGTTCATCTGCTAGCTCATCGGGACCTCACCACAGCCCCCTGAGGGTGACACTGTTATATGGCTATTTTACAGGTGGACATACTGAGGACAAAGGTCAAGTAACATGAGGTCTAGGCTACCCCGCTGGGGTAGAGCCCAGGCGGCTGGCCCCAGGGCTTCTCTGGGTGCATTTGCGTTCTTTCTCTGGAGATGAGAACTCACAGATACTGGCTGTTTTCGTTTGGACTGAGCTTTGAGCAATTTAGATAGATTCTGTCCTTTAAATAAGAAAAATAAATCCATGATCCTTTTACCCAGCCTGAAATGGTAGAATAACCCCACTGGGCACTAACCGTGCGCCAGTCTTTACATGAATTTACTCAGTCCTCACGACAACCCCGTGAGGTGGGTAGTACCACTAATCCCCACTTTACAGATGGCGAAACTGAGGCACGGGGAGGTTAAATGGTGCTGGATAGATCTAAACGCAACCGCTCTCCCCGGCCCCTGAGGGAGGGACACGGCCTCTCTTGCCGCCCCTGCATGCCAGGCAGACTTCAAGGAGAAGAGGCTCACCAGCACCAGCTCGGGCAGGGCGCACACATCTGGGTTCCAGGCCTGGTTCTGTGTGGCCTCAGGCAAGTCATTCGACCTCCCTGATCCTCAGTTTTCCCATCTGTCACATGGGGCGAAGGTGGCACCCCTTCCCAGGCATGTAGAGCCCTCCTGAGATGATGGGGGCCATGCCCCTGCTTGGGGCTCAGAGCAGGGTGGATGCCCCCAGTGGCTGGCAGGCCTGAGGGTGGACTCTGGACTCCGTGCTTGTCCTGCTCTGAGACAGCTCTGTGGTCTGAGCTCGGCCTTCAGGTGACGGTCACCCTGGCTGTAGAGCAGGGGGACAAATTCTCTACAAGGTCTTTGAAAAGAGAAAGAGCTTAGTGCCAGGGACACAGAGGGGACAGAGGGGGCACAGACAGGCCTAAAGCCGTGCTCACAGGGTGGCCCGCCAGAGGGCTCCCACTCTCGTTTAGGATGAGAAGATGAGAAGGATGACAATGGCAATAATGATGATAGCTAAACTTTGTTTTGGTCACCTGTTGTGCGGCAGGCTTGTTCTCAGTGTTTTCTGTGGATCCTTCCAGGTACTCATCCCAGCCTCCCTCTGAGGGATCCTATTATCATCTCCATTTGACAGAAGGAGAAACAGCTCCAGAGAGGGTAAGCCATCTGCCCAACATCACACAGCACCCTGGAGCAGATGGCCCCCCGAGGGGAGGAAGCTGAGGTCCAGCTAGAGCTGGCCAGGGGCCCTCCCTGCTGGCATGCCTTGGTCCTCCCTCTCCGTCCCCAGGGCTGCACAAACACCGGGGTTATCATTAACCAAGGCCTGCTGGTGACCTGGGGTGCAGGGCCCCGAGGGGCAGAGCTCGGGCAGACAGGCAGGAGGAGCTTTTCGAAGCCGCTGGGGTCCTCTGAGTCCATGTGCACACATGTATGAGTGTGTCAGGGCTTTGTCCATGCCTGGGCAGGAGTATGTGCCCCTCCTGACTCTGTGTCCTGCAGAGCACAGCTTCTGAGCCCGTGGGGCTCTTCCGGGGCTGGGCGCAGCTTCTGTCCTTAACCACCAGGGGACCTTGGGAGAATTAGCTCCCCTCTAATAGACCTCGGTTTGCTTGTCTCTGAAATGGAGTTAATAATAAGATGATGGCCAGCCAGAGGCCTCTGAGTCTGGCCCAGGGTTATACGTCCGACTGTTGTGATTTCTCCATTCTATAGGATGGGAAACTGAGGCACAGAGAGTCACATGGGCTGCTGAGGGTCACACAACCAGGAGTAGCAGAGCCCAGACCTGATCCCAGGCTTCTCTGACACCAGCGCCTGTGAACCTGGCTGCCCATGAGGACACCAGGTGTGTTGTCCTCGCGGGGGTCCTAGAGGCCGCAGGAGCTCAGGGAAGGGGGGCTTGGCGGTTAAACATGTCAACGCACGTTTGGTGGTGGTGTCTCTGAGCGTGGGCCTGTGTGTCTGTGATTGTGTGCCTGCTTGCCCGCACATGAGGGTGTGGACACAGTTCTTGTGTGTCTGTTTGGGCGGTTGTGTGCGAGAGTGGCTGGTTGTGTGGCTGTGTCCTTGACAGTGTTTCTGCTTCCCTGTGTGTGCATGAAAATGTGTGTGTGTGTCTGTGGACGTGTGTACACAGGTTGTGGGCCTTCACAGCTCTGAGACTGTGCAGGAGAGCTGGCTGTGTGTCTGTGCCTTCGAAGGTTTTTAGTGTGGCATGTGTGTATTGGTGCGTTTCTGTACAGCCATTTGTTAGTATGTCTTCACAAGAGTGAATATCTTTGTGACCACTTGTAAGAGAGGACAGTCGTGTGGCTGTGTCTTTGATTGTGTCTTGCACAAGCATCCATCTGAACGGCTGTGTGTGTGGTGTGTGAACACAAATGTGCTTGTGTCAGAGTTTTGTGACTCGTGTAAGAGATGCTGGCTGTGTATGTGTGTCTTTGGGTTTCTCTATGGGTGTGTTGTTCTGTGCGCGTCTGCCTCTGTGTTTGTATGTGTGTTCATAGACGTATTTGCCTGGTTTGGTGCCTGTTTATCTGGGTCTTTGGGGTGGTGTGTGTGTGGTGCGCACCCCTGGGGGACCTCACAGCCAGCACCACACAACATACACACACGTTGAAATGCCCCCAAAACAACCCTGTGGGGCTGACCAGGGCTCCAAAGAAGCCTGGGGTCAGGGGTCAGTGGGCTCCTAAGCACTCAGGCTGGGTGACCTTAGGCCCTGGCTGGGCCCAGTTCCCAGGGAGCAGTCAGAAAATCACTGACACTCACCCTCCCGCCCCAGCTCAGAAGATCTCTGAGGTGAGCGGAGGGGCACGTGTGTGTGTGTGTGTGTGTGTGTGCGCGCGCACGTGTGTGCGTGTGTGTCTGCCATCCAGTCCTCCCTGCCAGCTCTCTTCTTCCCAGCTTTCCCCAAACCGGCTGCCTACTGCTCCTCCGTCTGAGCCGAGAGAGTTAACCTAGCGGGCCAGGGCGGTCTGGGCTGGGGGCCGCCCCCTGGCCCCCCTCCAGCCCGGCTCCAGTTACAGCTGCTGGTTGGGGAGGGCAAGACTGGGGTGGGGCTGGGAGGGGAGACCGCTGGGGGCGGCGCGTCCAGCCCCGGGGCTGGGGGTCCAAAGTGCTCGGCCCCTGGGCACAGCCGGACGTTGGGGGCCTTCTTTCCGCAGGCGACAGCCTGATTGGGGTGAGCGTCCCCCGCCCTCCCCTCCAGGCCTCCCCCTGCGCCTGGCTGGGCCGCCTATTTTGGGAGCAGGAGTGGCCAGCCTGTGGCTTCCCAGGCAGGCCAGACCCAAGAGGAAGGGAGTGTGGTGGGAAGTTGGGGTTCCCCCAAAGGTGGGAGTGTGGGTGCCGCTCCTTCCTTCCCTGCGGCTCCGTGTGCACCCCGGCTGGGTGTGGGTTTTGGACACTCACGTGTGTAGGGCCGGTTGCGTGACTGTGTGGGGGCACCAGAGGCCCAGATGACGAGTAATGTGTGCCTGTGTCTCCACCCTACGTCCTGCTCCAACCAGAAGTTGGGGGAGTGGGCGTTGTCTCCATTCTAACCCCACTGCGTGTGTGTGACTGTGTGTCCGTCCCTGCCCCTGGCATCTGTCTTCTGTCTCTCAGCCGCACCGGCCTGGGCCTCCTGTCACCCGCCCTGTGGTGTCTGCTCGGGAAAGATGTCACCCAGAGCCGGGCGGAGGAGCTGTTTTTCCCTTCTCCCATTGCTTCCAAGAGAGCAGCAAGGGTGGCCTTTCCCACGGGGACAGCCTGTGGCACTGTGGCAGCCGGGCCTCACCCCGCAGGGCTGGGCATGACCCCCGAGTGGGGGAAGGAAGGCTGTTGCCATGGTGGCCTGTGCGAGGCAAATTCCTCCAGGGTGAAGTGGGAGATATTTTTACCCCGGGGGCAGGCAGAGAGCGGGCCGGCGCCGAGGGCAGGAGAGCGGGGATATCGCAGACACAATGAGGCTGCGGTGTGCGTGCAGGTGGGCCCTTGGGCGTGTCCTGGCCGTGTCATCCCTCACGGGGTGTCTGTCTCTCCACCGTGGGGTGTGGCACCTTGCTTTCCCCACTAGGGCAGCTGTGGGAATTCTGGGGCCTGCTGCGGGGAGGCCCCGTGGACGGTGTATGTCTCACCCCTGTCCTTGCTGTCATGTGACACCCATCATGTGGGTTGTTTTAGTGACACTGTGTTCCCATGAAGCAGAGGGTACCCCTGTTTCTTGGGGTGGCCAAGCTGGATGACAGAGGCTTTTGGAATTAAGTCCTTCTACTGTCTCTGACTTAACCCCTTGGGTTCAGGCCCCAGTGGTGGAGGGACGAGGGTACAAATTTCCTGACCTTTGGTGTTCCCAGGACAATGGCATCTCTTGGACACCTCTTGGTTCTCTGTGTGGGTCTCCTCAGCATGGCCAACGCAGGTGAGTCTTGGGGAGGGAGCCCACCACCCACCTCACCCCCAAGGGTGGCAGGGGTGAGGGAAACCTTGCAAGAGAACTGAGTTGGGGACTTCAACCTAAACTGAGTTAGTTGAGGCACCAGGAAACTGGGGCTCCCACATGCAGTCCAGTCACAGGCTGGTATTTGGGGGAGGGGATCAGGCAAAGGTGGGCGACGGGATGGTGGCCAGCTTCCCATGAAGGATGGAATCTTAGCCTGTAATAAGAAGGGGAGCTGGGGCAGTCAGGTGCCCCTTGTCCCTCTCGGGACAGTGCAGAGGGTCCAGGTAAGAGCCAGAGAGGGTGGGCCGCCTGCTCAGGGTCCAGTCACCCCCAAACTCTCAGCCCAGGAAGGTAAAGCCCCAAGACGGTCACTTTATGCCCCTCCCTGTCCAGGATCCCAGGATCCCAGGAAGCATCCTGATCTCTCTCTCTCTTTCCAGAAGCTCCACAGGAACATGATCCATTCACCTATGGTGAGGGAGGGGCATCCATCTTTGGGAGTTGGGGAGTGGGGTTTGGGTTTGCCTGTCCTGTCCTCATTCACTCTCTCTTTCTTTCTCCCTCTCTCCATGTCTCTGACCCCCAGCGTTTATATCTCTGTCACTCTCCTTCTCTCTCTTTCCCTTGATCTGGCTCTCTGACTCTGTCTTGATCTCCCCTTGTCTGTCTGCTTCTCTCTGTCTCTTTCTGTGTGTCTGCCTCCTTATTTGATCTCTCCCTGTCTCTCTGATTCTTTCTCTTTCTCCTTTTACCTCTCAGTATCTCATTGCCCATCCTCTGCTGCCTTCTGCCCTTTCTCTCCTCCCTGTTCCCCTCATCCTCTCCATCACCCCCCTTACTCCCTGTTTCCTCTCTGCCCTGCCCAGCTTCTCCCCTCCCTTTCCCTTCCACCCTCTCCTCTCTCTAATCTCCCTTCTCCCTCCTCCCATATCTGCTCCATCCTCTCATTGACTTCCTTCCTCCTTCCCCTCCTCCCCATTCTGCCCCTCTCCGATCCTTCCTCCTCCCCTCCCTGCCCTCACTGTCCTCCTTGTTGCCCGTAGACTACCAATCACTGCGGATCGGAGGCCTCATCATCGCCGGGATCCTCTTCATCCTGGGCATCCTCATCGTCCTGAGTGAGTACCCCCGACCCCACCGCCTCCAGCCCCTCTGCGGGTTTCCGCCCCAGCTCCGCCCTGTTCCCGCCCCGCTTCCAACCTCGCCGGTATCCACTCGGCCTCGCCTCTGTTCCCGCCCCGCCCCCGTCTCCCTCGGCCCCGCCCCTGTTCCCGTCCTGCCTCATCTCCCTAGACCCCGCCCCTATTCCCGCCCCGCCCTATCTCCATAGGCCCCGCCCGCGGCCCCGCCTCTACCCCGCGGCCCCGAGTCTCGCAAGCTCCAGCTGGAGCACGAGCGCCGCGCCGCGCCCGCCGGGAGCCGACGCTCAGCCCGGTCCTCCCCTTCCCCCCACAGGCAGAAAGTGCCGGTGCAAATTCAACCAGCAGCAGAGGTAGGAGGCCCTCCGGCCCGCACTCACCTACTCCCGCTCCAGAGGGGCGCTGGGGGTGAGCCAGAGCCCCGTGCGCAAATCTGCATTAAGCGCCTACTATGTGCCTGGCCCCGAGGCGGGCGCTGGGACCCAGCCGCGCCTTCACCGCCGCCGGCCTGGCTGAGCTCCCAGCCCAGCGCGGGCGGGGGCCGTGGGTTCCAACAACCCCACGAATGTAAAATCACAAAGCGTGGTAAGCGCTGCAAAGGAAGGAGCCGGGCGAAATGAGATCACCTCACTTGCTGGCCCAGTTTAGCTCGGAGTCCTATTCCTAGCTCTTTGATTCATCTTTAAATAAAAATTTAAAGCCCAGGCGGAGTATGAATACCTTCTCCAAGTTAAAGCAATTAGAGATGTTTTTATAAATAATAGCTAATACTGGTTGGGTGTGTCCTCCGTGCCAGATACTGTCTGACTGTGTGTTATCTTAGTGACCCCTCCCGCCACGTCTATGAGGTAGGTGCTGCTCTCAGCCTCATTTTACAGATGAGGAAACCGAGGCACGGGAGGTGAAGTCACTAGCCCAGGATCACTCGGCTAGAAGACGAGGATTCTGGGTTTCTAACCTAGGCCGTCCCTGGGCAGGGTGCCCCCAAGTCCCTTTGGTCATCCCTCCCCCGCCAGCTCCCAGTCCCTTCCCCCCGGCACTCGGCACTCGGGAGATGCTCCCTGTCACCGCGTGGAGCGCCTCCCGCCACGCCCTGAACCTGCTCCTGGGGGCGCCGCCTCCTCGCCCACCGCTGGGCCTCGGGACACGGGTCTATGAAATGAGGCTGCCCTGGGCATTCGGGGAGCGGCCGCCTCTCTCCTTTTCCATCCCCAATTCCTTCTGCCTCTCCTTTCCCAGGACTGGGGAACCTGATGAAGAGGAGGGAACTCTCCGCAGCTCCATCCGCCGTGAGTTTGGGGAGACGTCGGGTGTTTGGGGGTGAGGGACGTTTCCGAGAACCCCTTTCCTGGCCCTCCTTGGCTGCGTGGAGGGAAGGGCTTGGTCTGAAACCCGAAGGCGGGGAGTTCCCCCGCTGCCCACTCCACAGCAGCGGTGTGACTCCCTGACACCCGAACTCTCTGTGTCCCCCCAGGTCTGTCCACCCGCAGGCGGTAGAAACAGCTGGCGCGATGAACCCCAGCCAGGTCCTGAACTCTGACTGGGCTGCGGGAGCGAGTGAGGGGGAGGAGGGGGCGGTGGGCTGGGGGCTGGGGGGTGGCTGGAGGGCTCTCCTGCCTCTCACCCGTTTCACCCCCATAGGATCCCCTGGCACATGACGCCTCCCACCCAGCCCCGAGCGCCCACCGCCACCAGGACTGTCATCTTCCCGAGCCCTGCCCCCACAGACTCGTCTCTGCCGCCCAGACTTCCAATAAAACGTGCTTTCTCTCCTGACAGCACTTTGTGGATCTGTCGGTCCTTCTGCGCGAAAGCCCAGGCGCCCCCTTGGCCCCGGCAGGGGGCGCCCCCACCCTTGGGGAAGGGGCGGGGACGTCGGCGGGGGGCGGGGGCGGGGGCGGGGGTGGCCTGGACGGGGGCGGGCTCTCCGGGCACCCATTGGCTACCGCCCCCCAACACCAGGGCTCCCCCCATCTCCCCCGACATCAGTCGGTCCCGCTTCCAGCTGCTGCAGCCGCGCCTTCACAGCCTCGGCGTCCAGCCGCCTCTGCTCCGGCCGGCATGGCGACCCCGACTCAGGCCACCACAGAGGGTGAGCGTCGCCTGGGGAGAGGGCGCAGGGGGGTTCTGGTACTGGAAAGGGGGGCAGTGGGGAAGGGGGTGTCTGTCCTTCCTATGGGCGGAGGCCCCTGCAGTGCACCCTTGGCGCCCCTCCGGGCATCTTTGACACCCCCTCCCGGTGGTGTCGTTCCTGTGCAGGACCCGCGGTTGGAGAGCAGCAGTCCCGGGAGAAAGGATGCTGGGACCGGTAGCTATGGCAACCGGGTGGCTGGTCCTGCACAGCAGTGGTAGTGGACAGGAAGAGATGTGCTTCGAGGGTGGGAGTGGGTGGTTCTGCGGCCGCAGAGGTTCTCGCAGATTTCGGGGGTCCCTGGGGTGAGTAAGGGGAGGGGGTCCATATCCTTCTTTTTTCCAGCGCTGGCTCCTATGGTGGGAGTTTAATCCCTGACAGCAGGTGCGGCGAGAAGCAGGGAGAAAGAGGGAAAAACAGGGAGAAGGATAGCTGGGGGAAGTGAGAGAGAGAGATGGAGAGAGACAGCAAGAGAGAGGGACACAGAAAAGAATATAGAAAGACACTGACTGAGAAAGCCTGAAAGAGCCAGAGAGATGCCAAGAGAGACAGGAGACTCAGAGTCAGAGACACAAAGAGAGACCCAGAGAGAAAGACGGACGGATGTGAGATTCAAAGAATGAAGGAGAGAGGCAGAGAGCAACAGAGATGCAGAGAAAGAGAGAGAGGAAATGAGAGACTGAGAGACAGAAGGACTGAAGCAACTATGGAGAGGGAGGCATCCAGAAAGAGAGGAGGAGAGAGAGACATGGACCCACAGCGCCAGAGAGAAATAGACAGAAGGAAGGGCAGCACAGGGTGCGGCCAGACCACTGCAGTAAGCCCCCATGGGCAGGAATGGGGGGACCCTCCTTTCCGCCCAACATCAGGGGTGTCGATTTGTCTGGAGGTGCACTTGCGTGTGCACACAGATGCCCCTTCCCACCGCCATCCAGCCGCGTGGTGATGTCCATTTCCCTCCCAGTAACCCAGTTGTACGCCCATTCAACACTTGCTCCCCTGACAGCCCCTTCCCTGTGCCTGTTTCTGCAGAGGAGCAAGGAAAGGATGCTTTAAGGGGGGGGGGGGGGGCATGGGGAGGGTTTCCAGCACCAAGAGCAGGGCCAGGGGATAGTCCAGCGCTGCTGAGGAGCCCCTGGTGGTGAAGGGAACCCCAATTCCACCCCGGTCTCTCCTTCCCTGCCCCCTTTCTTGCTGGGCGGGGGCTGCTGCACTGAGCCGTATCTGCAGAATTTGAAGCAGGGCGGGGTGGGGGGGCTGCAGAGGCTGGAAGCTACCCTAGGGAGAGGGGGCAGGGCTGAGCCAGCAGGCCTGGCGGGAGCCCAGAGCTGCTTTTCGCAGAGATGGTGGTTAGCAGGATCGATGGCAGCAGACGGGCAGAGGTGGGAGGACAGATGCTCCCCGCACCTTTTCCCCAGTCATAGCACGAGAGGGGACCGCAGGTCTCGGGAACCCCGGGGGGAGGAAAAGCACGTTAGGTGTTGCAAATGCTTGAGGAAACTAATTAATGGACTGTTGGGGGAAGGAAGTGAAGGCTCTCCCCACCCTGTCAGTGAGCAGGAGGGAGAGTTGGGGACAAACAGAAAGGGGAGGTGTGGGCATAACTGGGCCTGGGCCCCTATCCCTGAGAAGGACCCTTGGCTTGGCCAGAAGCCAGCCCTGCAGGGGCAAGAACAGGAGGTACAAAGGGAGCAGAGGAAGTCCAGATTGGCCCCAAGGTTAGAAACCCAACCCTCAAGCCCCGCACAGGACCCCACCCAGCCTGGGGGGGGGGGTGGTACCCATCACCTCTCTTCACCTCTGGAGATGCCCCAGTTGCCGTAGCAACCACCTCCTTCCTGTGGTCTCCCTGGCAACTGGCCAGAAGTAGTGCACATTCCTTCTCCTGCCTCTTGGCTCCACCCTTAGCCCAGCCTTGCCCTGAGGACCCAGATTACTGGGCAGCAGGGACCAGAAGAGGAACTTCTGCATGGAGCTGGAGCACCTAGGGAAGAACAGAGGAGGATTCTGGGACAGGTGCTCACCCAGTGGGCTCCCGATGGTTTGGGAAGGTAGGGTGTGTGGAAACGCAGGAGGCAAAAGCAGGATATCCAACTGGTCCACCTCTGATGCAGCCTCCTGCAGCCTGGCTGGAGGCTGCATCATATTCATTCATTCATTCATTCATTCGCTCTTCTTTTCATTTATTCTAAAAAACTTCTTTGAAAGACTTTTATAAATGCCAGGATTAACAGCAGAGATGAGTTAAGCAAATTTGCTCCCCATCTGCTGGGGGAGCTGAGATAGAGCGCAGATGACTCTCCAACAGTGTCTTCCCATCTGGAGCTTTCGAGTACCACCTTCATGACGTATGCCCTATCCAAATGTTACCCACACTCATATTTATTTAATATGTTTCCCTCAAAAGATTAACTTTTTAAAAACTCAATTAGCCTTATTTTATATCACCAGCACAAATGAAAAATCAGGATTTTTTTGCCTTAAATTGAAGGCAGGTATAAAAAGGATCTTAAACAAGTGACTTCACTTTTTGGGGCCTCAGTGTCCCTCTTTGGTGGAATGAGGATGAAGATGCCACCTGTCTCAGGGAGCTGCTTGAAGAGGAAGTGTGTTAATACCTGTGAAGTGCTTAGAAGAGAGGCTGACAGGGAGTCAGTGCCATCAAATGCCAGTTAGATAAGTAAATAAAGGAGAAAACCTGACAATGCCGCAAAATTCTGCTTAGATATTGTTGCCTGCTGAAGACCCTGAGCCCAGGACCTGTTTTCAGTTGGGTAGAGAGGAGATTAACAAGGGCTGAAAGGTGTTAAGGACACATCAGCACCCACTAGGGACCAAGGACTGAGGAGGGCGCCCTTACCCATGTGTGACTCAGTGCGGCTCAGGGTCCGGCCCAGGTGCCCGCTGTGCTGGTCAGTTCAGGCTAGAGCACGCCACGGTAACGAATAGCACGCAGCATCCCACGGTTTCTGACAACCAAGGACTATTTCTCACTTACACTGTACGTCCATCTCAGGTCGACCAGGAGCCTCTGCTCACCAAAGGAAGCTGGAGCAGCTCCCACCTTGAACATTCATGTCACCTGGCCCAGGGCAAAGAGAGCTCTTGCATGGGCACTGAAATGCTCCAGCCTGGAAGTGACAATGACACTTCCACTCACAGTTTATTGGCCAGAATTAGTCACATCCCCCCCCCCCCCCCCCAACACACACACACATCCTTTCTGGAGCCTGGAGGGGGGAAGAAGACTAGTGACAACATGCAGCACCGCCCTGGCCCTCCTGGCCCCTGCCCCCCCAACACACACACAAGGGTGCACGCTTTGCAGAATTCTGCTCTAGACAAGGCAGAACGTACCGAGAGCCATCAGGGGCATTAGGGAGCCACCAGGATGGGCTCCTTGAATGGGAAGGACGTTCTGAGCTCTCCTGACGATGATTCAGGACAGGGAGTGGGAATGGGGAGAAGCAAATCCACAGACACGCACACATTCTACCCTCACGGTAACATTTATGAAATCAGGGCGAGTCTTCTAATGACGGGTGTGTTGTGTGGCACAGTTACGTGCATGTTCACGCAGGTACACACACGGGGAAAGCTATCACAAAATCAATTTTGAATCTTAAAACCAATGGTGTCTTAGAAATCAGTAACGTAGGATATATTATATAAGATAAGATAGGGTATTTTACAGGACAGCCCCCGGTGCTGGATCTGGGGACAGGAGCCAGAGGCCGAGAGCAGTAGGCTCAGTGCCTGCCTTGGGGGACTCTTGGATGACTGAGGAGTTTTAGGGAGTGTTCAGGGAAAGCTGATATCCTTAGCATCCCACCAGTGGGACTGGAGTCTGTTAACCCCCAGCATCAGAAGCAAAGGCGTGTGGATGTGTTTTTCAGGAAATGAGTCCACAGCTTGCATCAACCTCCACAGAGAACTAGAACCAGGACTGCCATAGTGTGGTTGGGTAGGTTGTGCACTGCACAAGGGAAATTACCACCCAATGGAGTGAGCGGGGACTAGAATCCAGCCTATGCTCCACTCCTCAAGCTTTGTGTCCTGCCAGGAGGCCATATCATCCGGAGCAAGGGGTCTCTTTATCTGATTTCTACACAGAAACTGTTGAGCAGGTGGCCCCATCTGGATCCTCAAGAATGTTAAGAAACCCAGGGTTGAAACGTTTCTTTCCCTCTCTGTCTCTCTGCCTTCCTTCCACAGCTCCTCAGGAACCTGACCCATTTTACTATGGTGAGTGGCGGATTCGGTGATGAGGGCACCCTGGGGCTGGATGGAGGGTGCCTGTAGATCCCCACAGATCACTGCTGGAGTGGCTTCAGCTGTGGCTACCTGGCACATGCTGGGCCACTGGCCATATGATCACGTTGATGCTGTTCATAGCACCTGGGCCCGTGGAGGGCAGAATCAGACTTGGGGGGTACCCTCTCTGGGCCCCCCCAGGCTTCCCAGGACTCCAGGCTGGTGCTCTGGGGTCATCAGAGAGGGAAATAACTCAGGTCAGGCTGCCTGGATTTGAATCCTGGCTTAGCCACTCACTAGCTGTGTGGCCTGGAGTAAGCAACTTTGCCTCTCTGGACCCTTCTGTAAATAAGAGATAGTAATAATAGTTCTCACCTGTGAGGCTTGTGGGAGAGATTTATTTGGAGGATGCTCTTAAATCGTCCCCACAGCACTGAAGCTCAGAGAAGTTACCCCCAGGTCTGGCAGACCTGCCCCAGTTCCCTCTCCAAACCCTCCCCCCCTCCCTCTGCTTGCTCATGCTGTGCCTCCAATCGGCCAAGTTCTCTCCCACCTCAGGCCCTTTGCACCTGCTGTTCCCTCAGCCAGGAAGCCTCCTCCTCTAGCTCTCCTCACAGTCGGCTAAGGCTCCTCTTCCTTCTTCAGGCCTCAGATCATACACTGATGGCCCTGGCTCCCCAGCAAGAGGAGCCATGCCCACATCTACCCCCCACCCCCGTGCCCCCCGGGCACATGACTCAGTTTCTAGTTTTATTTTGATTAGTGCTTTACCACAATATGAAAGTCGACTCCCTGGACCTCTGCTGGTACAGAGCTGGTGCTCCATAAATTAATGTTTTAACAAAAGTTTACTATGGTATATCAGACAAGAATAATTACTATGAAGGAAAATAAAGGAAAGGATGAGATTAGAGAGTGTTGAGGAGAGGAAGGGAAATTCTCCATAGGACAGCCAGAGAAGGTGTCACTGATATTTGGATAAAGCCCAGAAGTTGGTAAGGAAAGGATATCTGGGGGAAGAGCTTTCAGGCAGAGGGAATAACAAGTGCAAAAGCCCTGAGGTAGGACCATGCCTGCTATGCTCCAGGAATAGCAGGGAGACCAGTGTGCCTGGAGGAGGGGACTGAGGAGGAGAGTGGAGTGGCATGAGGTCTGAGAAGGAGCAGGGATGAGATGATATAGGGCTCTGTGGGCTGTGGCAGCCACTTTGGCTTTGAATGAAAATGTAGTGGACACCAGGGTGGAGGGAAGGGCTCTGAGCTCAGGAGGACCCAGATCTGACTCAGGTGTTAGTGGAACCCCTGTGGCTGGGGTGGGGGTGGGGGAGACCATAGAGAAGGCTGTTTCTGCATTGGTCCAGTGGGAGACAAGGGTGGACCAGACCTGGGGGAGGCCATAGAGGAAGTCATGCATATATATATATATATACACACACACGCAGTAGAGGAATGTTACATACACATCTAGGGCCAAAGAATGCAGGGGAGGGGAGGGGGGAGAGGTCAAGGGAGCCACCGATGCCCAAGCCCACACTCTCCATCTTCACACTCACCCACCGGAGGAGCCTCCGGCACGGCCTGCAGCATCCCTGATTCTGGGCGCCTGGCTGGGCAGCCATGGAGCCAGGCCGAGGCTCCAGAGAGGGCTGAGGTGCCACCCGACCCTGATGTCCCCCCTTGTCCTCCCCAGATTATGACACTGTGCAGACCGTGGGCATGACTCTGGCTACCATATTGTTCCTCCTGGGCATTCTCATCATCCTCAGTAAGTGTGACCCCTTCCTGGGCTCTGGAGCCCCTCAGGAGGGCTGCCTCCAGTCCCAAGCTCCTACAGGGCCCCCGCTGGCTCCTGCCCAGACCCGTACGTCTGTCTCCTTGTTCTGTCTGTCTCTCCCAACAGGCAAGAAGGTGAAGTGCAGGAAGGCCGACTCCAGGTCTGAGAGGTCTGGCAGCAGTGGGGAGAGAGGGGAGAGGGGTGGGGGCAACCTGTGGCCCAGGGGTCCCCCAAAGGGGCCTATGGGGCCCCCAGGCCTGCCATGTGTCCCCATCAAGCCCGCGGCTATGGAGCCTCTTTATGCTTTTCTCTCTCGTCTTTGCTTCCACAGCCCAACATGCAAATCCTGTAAGTCGGAGCTTCCATCCTCAGGTGAGGGCAGAAAGTTGTGGTTCTGGGAGGACAGGCGGGAGCAGACAGGGGGCTGCACAGGATGTCCGCAGGAATGGGCCCCCAACGGGCCCACACGGGAAATTCTGTAGGAGCTGAGACCCCACAGATCAGAGGTGTTAAACCGTGGAGAGTCAGTGGGATGTGAAATGTCCCAGAGAGTCCCCTAAGCTTCCCAGAAACGAGTACAGCAGCCTGTGAAAGCCAGGATGAGCCGGTGCCCAGAGGGAGGGTGAGGAGAGGGGCCGGCAGGGACAGCCTGTGCAGTCAGAGCAGAGAGGGTTGGGGCTTAGAGGGGGTGGGGCGTAGAGAGGGGGGGGGCGTAGAGGGGGTGGGGCGTAGAGGGGGTGGGACAGAGAGGGGCTGGGGGTATTGGGTGGAACAGAGGGGTGGGGCGTAGAGGGGCTGGGCTATTGGGTGGAACAGAGGGGTGGGGCGTAGAGGGGCTGGGGTATTGGGTGGAACAGAGGGGTGGGGCGTAGAGGGGGTGGGGAAGAAAGCCGTGGGGTGTAGAGGGGGTGGGACAGGAGGGGTGGGGCATAGAGGGGGTGGGGTGTAGAGGGGCTGGGGTGTAGAAGGAGGTGGCAGCGTTGGGGGGGAGAGTGGGTGAGGGGGTTGGAAAGCATGAAGGAAGATGGAAAGAGAGATGTCAGATGGAGGAGGGGATAAGCGTGTGGATGAAAGAGTGTGACTCCTTGGGGGTGTTAATTTTAATTATATAAAAATATCTCGACCTGTTTTTAGTGGAACCGCGTCCTTTCCAGGGACTTTTAAAAAATCAGAGATGGGAATCTCTCTGCCTTTTATAAAGTTCTCATAACTAAAAATGGGCCTTGGGGTACTCAATATTTGGGGGGATTTGGTGTGGAGCTGCATGTGCTTTGTTTCATGTTCTTTGAATGAGATTTAAGAGCATTAACGAGTCGCACGTGGGTGGCTGGGGGGGGGTTGGCCCTGGCCCCCAGGCACAGTCTAAGAATATGCACAGGATTCTGACCCACTCCAGTTGAGCAATGGTCCCAAGTGGGTGGGAAACAGGAGAATTCCTGTCGTACCCAACGTTCGGGAGATGGGGTGTTGGAAAGGGGTGTGGCTGTAGGAGGAGACTGGGGGCCTAGGAGGGGATGGAGACTTCGTTTCTGCCAGGGGGACGCCCCAGAAAAGCCCCAGCCGGGCCGGGGTTCTCCAGTCTGTCACACGTGTGTTCCCCTCCGTGGCAGTGTCCTGTGGGGCAGGACAAAAGCCACACAGGTGTCCTACATGGCCCAGGCATTAGGTCATGGGGAGGCAAGCGAACTCCCCAGTGCTAGCTCAAGGGTGACAGTCCTTGGGGGTCTAGCTTCCCGGGGGTTGGGGGGGGGGGCGGTGACGGAGGGCCGGCTGGCTGTGGGGCGGGGCCTGCTTCCACCTCTCCAGTCGCTGACCTGGGCGCACTCTCTCTCACCCCAGCCCCTGGAGGTGGCGGCGTGTAAAACCAACCCGGGGCACCTCCACTGCTGTCCCTGCCTGAGTGCGGGAGCCTGAGGACCGGGTGGAGGCGGTGGGGACCCCAGCCTTGCGCCGGGGAGCGCTCCCCCAATGAGCCCCACCCACCCACCCCGAGGCTGGAGCCGCTGCCCCCGCTGCCCCTCCCCAGGCAACGGCGATCCCCTAAAGTGCCCGTCTGCACCCCAGATCCAGGGCCTCAGGCCTCTAGCTCCTGGGGTCCGGGAGTCTCCCCAGCCCCCGGCATCCCCGTGTGCTGCTCCCCGGCACCTCCTTGTCTCCTCTCCGAAGATCCGGTCCCCTGCACCCTCGGTGTCCATGTCTTGAGCTTAATAAATGGGCATTTGGTTTTTCCCCCTGTTCCGTCTGTGTGTTCTCATCTGTGGGGACAAAACGGGAGGGGGCAGAGGTGGACCTGGGGAGCTCTCTCCCCTCCTTCTCTTTCCCCTCCCCCTTCCCCGTCTGTCCTCCCTCCCCAGGAGCCCCACCCAGCCCAGACCTGCCGGTCTGCGCCCCACGCCGACCTCCCCCAGGCCGGGTGGCTGGAGGCGCCGCCCTGCCTCTCCCCCCGCGCCCCCATCGCCCTCAGCGTCTCCCACTCCTGCTCCCACCCTGGGCTCTGAAGCCAGGAAACCCAAGAGGAAATGACTGGGCGGGTCTTGGTCCCCGCCCGCCAGCGCTCCCCTGGCCACACCCTCCGCCTGGACGCAGCCACCACCGCTGCCCTGTCTCCACGAGGCTGCCGGCCCGGACCCGGCTCGGACGTAAGTCTCTCCTCGCATCCTCTCCCTCCGCCCGCCCTCTGCCCGGCCGCGCTCAGGTGGGGCGACGACGGATCCGCCGGGGGCCTCTCGCCCCCCTCCATGCTCGCTTCTGAGCCTGCTCGTCGGTACTCCCGTGGGCTGCGCTGTTTCGCTCCTCCTGCCTCAGTCTCCCCAGCTCTCCTCCGTGCCTCTGCGGCCAGTCCCTCCCAGGTCTGCCCGGCGTCCTGTTCTGTTGTCCCTGCAGCGAGGCTTCTAAAGCAACTCACTTTTTCCCCTGCCATCAGGAGCACATTACTCACTCTTCCTCTTTCCCCTCCTTGCTGACTCCTCGGCTCCGGGGACAGCCCCAGAGGGAGGGCCCGCGATCTCCTCCTGTGCCCCAGACCCTCCCCGCTTGCAGGGTCCGTCCGCGGGGTGAGTGCTGAGGAGCCGGGTGTCCCTGCGGTGGCTGCTACTGGAAGCTGGGTTGATCTGATGCTTTCTCTTTTCTCTGGGGACCTGCAGAGGCAAGAAGGGGGTGGCGTGGCGGCTGGGGACCCCCCACTTCGGAGACCCTCCCCCTGCCCCCACAGCCGGCTGTCAGTCCTGGCTGGAGTCCTTGAAGCCAGAGAAGGCTGCTCAGGGTGGGGAAGGGGGCTGCAGGCTCGGGGGGCTGCCCCGGGCCTGCCGCCCTGACAGCATGGCTGACCGCAGCTCCGCCGGCCCGCAGATGTCGCCCTCTGGTTGTCTGTGCCTCCTCACCATCTTCGGCCTCATTCTCCCCACCAGAGGTAAGGCCCAGCCCTGGTCTCCACGCTGCCTCGGGGCCCCCAGCCCCTCCTCAGGGCGGCTCTGGGCCGCGTGCTCACCCCCTGCTGAGCCGGCACCAGGAAGGGGGGATCCCGATGAGGGGGTGGGGCTTACACCCTCTTTGGACACCTCAGACCTGGGTGGCCGCTTCCAGTGAGTCTGGCCAGAGGCTCCCCTGCTGAGCATCCTCCAGTTTCACCTCCAAGAAGAACTCACCGAGTTTGATTTGGCTGCGGGATCCGTGTGGGTTTCTCCTGGGCAGCCAGGAAGTGGGGCCCCCAGCGCCCCAGCTCCCGGATCCCCGGGTGATAGCGATTAGGCAAAGGGGGTGAGCGGCGGGGGCCAGTCGGAGACAGAGCTGGAGATGGCACAGCGTCGCCTGGGCTGGGTTTCCTGAAGGCAGGACCCCTGGGGGCGGTCGCAGGAGCCTTCTGGGGCAGGCGCTCTGTGCGCGAGCTCTACTGTTCCACATGTTGTCCTGCCCATTTTACGGATAAGAAAACTTGAGACTCAGCAAAGGGAAGTGCCCTGTGCCGCAGGCTAGTGAGTGGAGGGCTGGGATCACAACCATCCTGTTGGCCCCCCGCTCCAGCTCCGCTGAAGCTGCCCTTTGCTCTGCGATGGAATCATGCTCACGAGTTCCTCCAGTCGTTCGAGGAGTGTTCCCTGAGCAGCTACTCTGTGCCAGATCTTGTTCTCTGTGCGATGAGTAAAATGGGAACTGCTGGTCTCGTTGGGAAGGCCAGACAATAAGCAAACCCCTAGTCAATGGTATAGGATCTAGGAGGTGGTGAGTGCCGAAGAGAAAAATCGAGGCGAGCGATGAGATTGTTTCACGACTCAGGAAGACTCAGGAAGGCCTGCCGAGGAGGCTGCTTTGGGCAACACCCTTCCCCCCTCCGTCTCATTTCAATCTGTCTACAGCCCTGAGAAGTAGATTCAGCTGTTATCCCCACTTTGCAGATGAGGCAAGTGAGTCTCAGAGACGGCACATCACTTGCTCCAGGTCACACAGCAAGGAAGTTGTTGGGAGCAGAATTTGAGATCAGGGCCCTAGCTGCCTGGAACGTCCACAGGGGTGGGCAGGGAGAGGGGGCTGGAGGAAGGGCGCTGGGGTATGAGCATTTCTTACAACACTTCCAGGGGCATGGATCGATAGCGCCCAAGCTGGTCAGTCAAACATCCGTCTGCCTTTCCCAGCAGACAGGGCCTCCTGAGTTACCCCCAGACTTTCAGAAGGGGAGGCAGGATGGGGATGCTGATGAGAGAAGGGGGCCCAGAAGCTCCTCCCTGACTTCTCATCCTCGATTTCCCAGGACAGACATCGAAGGAGGCCACATCCACTTCTCTAGCAGACCCAACTACTGAGGAGATTCGGGTGCAGACTGAAGCCCCAGGTGAGGAAAGAGGAACAGGTCTGTCAAGATCCTGCCATTGCAAATAACAGCAGCAACAAGTCTCAACTGTGGACCAAACTGGAATTTTTAGATTGTGTAACTGAAAAGTCCAGGGATAGACCTTCAGGCATGGCTTGATCTAGGTGCTCAAATGATGCTATCAGAAACCTGTCTCCATCTCTTGGTTCTGTTTCCTCAGTGTTGGCTTTGTTCTCAGGCAGATTCTCCTCTTATGGGGCCAAGATGACCCCTAGAGACCCAGGGCTTCCATCTTACCTGATAAGAATCAAGAAGAAAGAGCATTTCCCCTTCCCCAATCCAGCCAATGTTCCAGAACTGAGTGCCACTGACCAGGCTCAGGTCATGTGCCAACCCGTGAGCTGATCATTGTGGCCACAGGCACAGAAAGCTGATTGGCCAGACCTGGGTCTCATGGTCAACCTCCAGTGGGGCTGGTGCCAGGCCCACTGACCGAAGTGGACCGAGAATCAGGGAAGGATGGTTTCCCAGAGGGCGTTCCAGGGCCTCTCACCGGAGGCAGGCGGATGCCGAGTAGGGGATGGGCGTCCGTGGGAGGAGGGCCTGAGGCGGCCTCACATTTGGGCAGTTAGCGGAATGGCCGGATTCAGATTTGTTCGTAAGTGGTTTCCACCACATCAAAACTGAGTTGGTGTGGAAATCCTCCTGCACCTGCGCCCACGGGCTTCCTCCATCTCCTCTCCCTTCTCTCCCTGTTTCCCGATCCAGGCACAGACCACACGGAGCTCCAGCCCACCCCTCAGACCTCAACCCTGCCGGCCGGTGGTGAGTGGGGCAGGGGAGGGGCGGGGAGGGGCGCCCGGGTCAGACGTTCTCCCCCGCTTCCTCTGACACTCTGCGTCCCTGGTCACCGGTTACAGCCCCCCTCCTTTACTCTGTGGGGGGGCACCAGCCAACTCCCTTCACTTCTTCAAGAAAGAAACTTTTGAAATCGTGAAAAAGAACATGCGTACAGAAAAGTACAAAACCCATAACTGTACAACTTAACAAATTCCTCTGAATCGCACCCGGGGTCGCCGCCGCCTGGTCAGGGAGTGGAGCGTCGCAGACGCTCCGGAAACCCCCCGGGGGCCTGCCCCGTTCATTTCTCCCTTTATCCTCTTTCCCTTTTTCCTTTTTTGAATGTTCAGATTATTATTGAACTTTTCCTTCGATTATAACATAATTCACAAAGTGCTCCCCGACTATCCCATTGATGTTTAGTGACACCGTAAACATAACACACATAAACACAGCCTCCCTGGAGACAGTGAAAATACTGCAGGCGAGAGGAAATCCCTTCGTCCATTCCCCACGCTGCTCTCTCCCCCATCTCCAAGAGGCCCCCTCTGTCAGCCCTGGGTGGGGGCGTGTTTCCGTGAGCCTAAGGATACTGGGCGATAGTTCTGCAGTGTGCTCTGCTCCCCCTGCAGTAACACGCCCGATGCCCCCCCGCATTCCTGTGTGAACACCCATCTTGCTCTGTTTCCCCGCCCCTGGGACTCCTCAGGAGGCTGTGCATGGACTGTGGAGCCACGCACATCTCCGTGAGCATCTCGGTCACTTCCAGTTTCTTCTGCTACACACAGAGCCACAAGGAGTGACATGTCCCCTGCTCCTCGAGCCCACCCTAGCAGCATGTATTCTAGATGAGTCCTAAGTATCTCACCCGTGTTCACTCGTTCAGCCCTCACCCAAACCCTCGGCGGTGGAAGCGAGCCCAATCCCCGCTTCACAGACGAGGACACGAGGGCTCAGAGTAACCCGCCCAAGGTGTCACAGCAAGGCAGGGACATGGCTGGCATCGGGGTCCAGGGGTCTGGCTCTGGGGCCCTACTCCTACCCACAACACTCTGGGGCAAAGGACGCTAGCGCTGAAGTTTGTTTCAGGAGCCGCTTGGCCAACGGCCACACGAGCTGCCCTCAGCAGCAGCGTGTGACAGAGTCCCCCGTCCCAGCCCACGGGAGCGACTTTGGTTTTTGCCAACCTGATTGGGGAGGCCCCCGGCTGTCCTGTGGACCTGCACGTCCCTGCCTCACTCGCTTCTCCCCTCCCCTCCTCGCTCTTCCGACCCCAGTAGAAACGACGCTGCCGAAGGAGGTGGAAACGGAGACCCAGACCCAGCCACTGCCGGGGCCCGAGGCGCATCCAACCACAGTCCGGGGGACGGACAGGAGCCGCACGGAAGGTAGGGCCCGGGGCTGTAACAGCAACCCGCGAGTTTTGTTTAATTCTCTATCTAGGTCAGCATTTCCCTAAGTACGCTTCTCAGAGCACCCGTTTGGGGAATTAATACATTTTCAAAAAATTTCTTTGCAGTTTGTGGTCAAAGGTCTTTGGGAAACTCTGAGTTAAAGTTAAACACGTTTCCTTCTGGCGGGACTTCTCAGAGTCTTAACAAAGTGCATCTGCAGCAGGCTCCCTGAGAGGAGCATGTAGTCCGCAGTGTTCCCCAAGTCTGATAGACTCAGGGCCCTCTTTTGTTCAGGTTCCTTTGTGGGGCTGGTCCCAGGAAATCTGGCTGTGGGTGTTTCCTTGGTTGTGTCTTCTTATGGGAGCAGGAGCTTTCCAGTTGCAAAATCCAGAAAACCCAACTGAAAAAAAGATTTGTTGGCTATATACAATCTGCAAAGTCCAGAGGTATCCAGTTTCAGGCGCAGCTGGATCAAGGAGCTCAAGCTGTCATCGTGACTGACTTGCTCCCTCTCTCCACTCTGTTGTCTTCATTCTCAAGTGGCTTTTCCCCTTTTGCTGGCAAAGATGGTCCCATAATTCTAAGGTTAGGTCACAAACTCAGCAGCTAGAGAACGTCTCTTTCTCATTATCTCCAGCCCAAAGCCTAGAGTTGATTCTCATTGGCCCAGTTGGGGTCACATACCCGTGTTTGACCATCGGAAGCCTAGGAAATGGACTGCCCTGATTGGTCAGGCCTGAGTCTTGTGCCCTACCCTGGGGCTGGAGAATGGGGTAGCCCTGTCTAAATCCCGTAACCCAGAGTCAGGAAAGAGGCAGTTCCCTTCAGGACAAGTGAGTTAATGTCACCAGAGGTGTGGGGAAGGGGGCGGAGCCGAGATGAGGGCAACAGGTGGCCTATAATGCTTGTGTGATGGTCTGTATTTGAAGGGCAGCCCCTGCTGGGAAGTACAGTAGCTTGGGCACTCCCAGACTGAGATGCATGCACAGTTGTGCAGACTGGGCACTGCACAAGAGCCCCACCTGTAAGGCCGTGTCATTCCCCTGGTAGATTTGTGTAATTGTTAGTTTCCAGCGATGGCAGTAAAGCATCGCATTCTGACAGAATCTATGAAAACAACTTTACAACAGGTGGAAATAACGTGTCTTGGGAAAGGGACTTTTCTATTTTGCACAAAATTGTCCTCTCGGGGCAGGGCTTAGCGGCTGTGTCCACACTTCCCGGCTGAGGAAACATCCTCGCATCCCAGACTCACTCACTGAGTCCTTGCCGCTGAGAGTTACTCTGCGCGATGGTCCACGTTCCTGATTATTCCTGACAGACAGTCACCCGGGCTGAGTGGGTCAGGGGCCAGTGATAGAGGCACAGCCGAGCCTCGGGGTCAGCAGGCCCCAGCACAGAAGCCCCAGAGCTCCTCTCCCTCCCTCATCTTTGATTCTCCTGTCTCCTGCCTGGCCGGGAGGTGGCTCCTGTCATCTGCTGCTCTGAGTTGCACCATGATTCCGCTCAGATCCCTTCTTGGAATGGAAAGGTCGAGGGAGGGGCGAGACCGGGTCCCCTGCCCCACTGTGGCTGGGGCACAAGCGGAGAAGGGAACTGAGGCCCAGAGAGGTTACTCAGTGGCGCTAAGCCACACAGCCCACAGAGGCAGAATGGCCTCTAGCGCCAGGCTGGCTGAGCCGCACACCCACCGGGGCTGTCCTTTGGGTGCTCTGTCGGCTCCCCAACTTTGTTCCTGCTCTTGATCCCGTTGACCCCCTCCTCCAGACAGGCTTTCCCGAACACCTCGGAATCCTTGGCTGTTGGTTCATCTGCAGGGGGTACGGGGCAGAGACTGGCCTGGGGAGCTCGGGCTTCTTGGGGCAGCTGCTCTGCTCGCTGGCTTTGCACGGGGACATCGGTCAGGGGTGACGATTTCACTGGGGACACTTCTCAGTGCCAGAGGCCACGGCTTTTTTGAGGGCGTCGATTCTTTTAAAGACGGGAGCCCTCTGGGGTTTTTGGCCTGGGACAAGAGGTGATATTCGAAAAGTCTCATAACAAGCATCTCCACGCTCTGTCACGGGCCCAGGGTCCCGGCGGCCCCTGCCTGGCTGTGACAGACGTTGCCCTTTACTTCCTGGATGATGGGGCGGCCAAGGGGTCCTAGGAGAGGGGCCAGGGGGTCCTCGGGGGTGGGGTGGCTGGTCTCAACCAGGGTGCAGGCTTACCTCAAATTTCATACCTGCCGTTCCTTGCTGCCTCCAGGGGTGGGCGAGGGGACCTGCACCCTGAATGAGTGGGTGACAGGGCTGCTCCCAGATCCAGACGTCAGTGACGTCCCCTCTTTCCCTCCACGGCTCACTCCTGCCCTCCGCCATCTGGCCGTTCTCCGCCCATCCCACTGCAGGCACCACTCTCTCCAAGAGACGAACCCCCGGCAACGATGTGAGGACGGACCCTGCCCTCCAGCCAGCAGGTGGGTACCCCCCCACTCCCCCAGACCGCGGACAGGCTCTCTGCTGGCCGCTGTGTGTCTCTAGCTCCTGGCATACGGCCTGGCCCAGAGTCGTCCTCAGGAGGGCTGGGCTGGGTGAATGCATGGCTTCAGGGCTGGCAGCGGGCGCACCGGGCAGACACACAATAAATGTCAGAATAGATGAATGAATGCCCAGGGGCCCCCAACATCGGTGGGTTAAAATGACAACCAGTGATTTAGCTCCCAAGTCTGCGATGTGGGAGTCTCGTCCTGGCTCAGCCGGCTGCTTCTTGGGGTCTCTGCTGGGCTGACTTGTGCCTCTGAGATCTGCTTGGGGTCTGCAGGGGCTCTGCTCCTAGGGGCGCCTGGGTCTGGTCTCCTACTTCCTGCCCCGCCAACCCCAGTGGATGGATGGAAATGATGTGCCTGCATGTCACGTAGAGCATTCATTCATTCGAAAGTTTTCACTGAGCACCTGCTGTGTGCCACGCAGTGTTCTAGCTCCCAGGTACACAGCAGTGAACAAGACAGACCAAAGTCCCCCTCTCTGGGAGCAGACATCCTAGCAGGGGGAGAGAGACGATGAATGAGAATTGTAATCACTTTAGATCAGGGGGTTCTCAGTTGCTATCGGGTTAGAGTGGAGGGAATGAGTGGGGAGTGTGTTCTGTGAAGGGCAGGGAGGCCTCACGGAGAAAGCACTGTGGGGGCCGTGTCTAGGCAGAGAGAACAGCTGGTGCAAAGGCCCTGAGGTGAGCAGGGGGGGGGGGGGGTCTGGTACATCACCAGCAGGCAGTGGGTGGGGTTGGGGCACATGAGTGAGGGGACTGTGAGGAGGTGACGTTGAGAGGCAACGGGAGCCACACTGTGGCCACGTGAGGACTTTGGGTTTGTTCTAAGTGTCCCAAGCCTGAGACCCAGGTGTCCCCTCTCCCTGACCTGCCATTCGCTGATTCACTCCGCAAACCTCTGCTGAGTGCTGCCTTTCTCCCTGTCTGTCCCCCAGCTTCCAGTGAGGACGACCCCTTCTTCTATGGTGAGTTGCCCTAGGGGGCGGCGGGGGGAGGAGGGGCGAGGGCCGCCCTCACCAGGCTCCTCCGTGTCCCTCTCTGCAGACGAGGACACTCTCCGGAAGCGGGGGCTCCTGGTTGCGGCTGTGCTGTTTATCACGGGCATCGTCATCCTCACCAGTGAGAAGGGGCAGCACGAGGCACCAGGCGGGGAGGGGGGCCCAGCGGGCGCCCTGAGGGAGGTCTTCAAGGCTCTGGGGAGGTTGTTCAGCGCTTATCCATGCTTATCTGTTGGCGACATCACCATACAAATGACCCCAGAACTCAGCGGCTTAAAATGGTAGCCACTCACTCAGCCCTCAGGGCCATGGATGGGAGGTGCCGGCTGGACTCGTTCCTGCATCGAGGTCAGCATGGGTCAGCGTGGGTCAGCAGGGAACTCCTCCTGTGGCACCTTGGTCCCTGGCTTCGTGGTCTTATCCCCCGGTTGACTGGCCTGGGCTTCTTCACGTGGTGGTGGCAGGCTAATGTGATGGTGTGGCCCCCAGGACTAGCCACCATGGGTGCTGTGATCACCCCAGCCCCGAGGGCCGAGGGGAGGGCGTGGCTGCACCAGGACCTGCTAGAGACGGAGCTGTAGGGGGTGCCAGCAGGGGCTGTGGCTCCAGGAGAGGTTCCCGCCCACTGCCTCGTGGGCCTCGTGGAAGGCCCACCGGGAGGGGCGGGGTGGGGGTCCCAGACTCCTATACCATCCTCTCCTCCTGCCCTTCCCCCTCCTGCACTCCCACCTCCTGCCCTCCCCTCTCTGGCCTCCCCCCTTTTTGGTCTCCCCGTCCAGTCCCCCTGCCCTCCCCTCTCCTCTCCCCCAGCTCCTGTCTGGCCTCCCCGCCAAGGCTCAGGCAGAGGGCAGCCCAGGGCTGCTGCCTCTCAGCTCAGCCTCCCAGGACCCAGCCCCGTGCATGGGGAAAGGGGCAGAGGGAGAATGACAAGCAGAGAAACTAATTATTTTTAAAGTTTTTTTTTTTTTTTTGTGGAAGATTAGCCCTGAGCTAACTGCTGCCAATCCTCCTCTTTTTGCTGAGGAAGACAGGCCCTGAGCTGAGATCCGTGCCCATCTTCCTCTACTTTATATGTGGGACGCCTACCACAGCATGGCTTGCCAAGAGGTGCCATGTCTGCACCCGGGATCCAAACTGGTGAACCCCGGGCCACCAAAGCGGAACATGTGAACTTAACCACTGCACCACTGGGCCGGCCCCTTTAAAGTTTTCTAAATGCTGCAGATTAAGTAAAACACAAGGGCCGGCAGTTTGCGAGCTCTCCTTAAGCTGAATCACCCACGCCAGGTCCTGGCCTCTCATCTGACTCTCTCGTCAGGAAAATGGGCGCAGCCACACCTTTTTGCCTTGAGGTGGGAGGCAGGGCACTAAAGGTCATGCACCGAGGGGCCACATGTATGATGGTCGTCCCATCAGATTAGTGCCACACAGCCTGGGTGCATTGTACGCTGTAGGTTTGTGTGAGTCACTCTGTGATGTTCACACAATGATGAAATCGCCCAATTCGCAGGACGTGTCCCCGTCGTTAAGTGATGGGTGACTGTAATGTTAAAAAGAGATTGGTAACTCATGCCTGACCCACGCTGAGTCCAGGAGTCAAGCACTGTTGCCTCAGTGGTGTGACACGTCTTTGTCAACCCTGACACTGTGCTGGGCCCTATTCCCTCCCTGTGGGAAAATCGAGGCTCAGAGAGTTGAGGAGTTTGCCCAAGGTCACGCAGCACGTGAGAATCAAGGAAGGCCTGGCACCAGGTCTGCGCGAGGGCAGAGCCTGGCCGTTAACTCTGGGGCCAGAAGTGACAAACATCCGTGGGCACCCACTCTGTGCTCAACCCGGGCTGTGGGGCTGGGGGCACGGCCTGGTCCCCACCCTCGGGAAGCTCACATGTGGGGCTGATGATAAGCAGGTAAACGCACTAGTAAGCAGAGTGGATGTACAGAGAGGTGATTAATTACCATGCAGAAACAGAGCAGAGGACAGGACCGAGAGGGACGGAGGGAGCATCTCCCTCCAGTGAGGTGCAGTCAGCACTGGCTCCTCACCGTGAGAAGGATGATTAGAAAACCAGGGAGAAGGAGCCCCACTCGGAGGCCAGAAGGAGCTGAGCGCGTTGCGGCAACCACAGGAAGAGGCCAGGGTGGCTGGGCGCGTGAGCCAGGAGAGGAGTGGAAGGATTCCAGGCAAGAGGGCCAGGGAGGCGGGAGGCAAGGGGGGCAGCCAGGAGACTGCAGAGTGCTGTTGTCTGAAGCTCCCTTTGTCTCCTAAGATCCCCCATCATTCACTTGGCTCCAGCCCATGGCCTCCCTGCTGTCCCTTAAGCCCACCTGTCCCGCTCCTACCTCAGGGCCTTTGCACTGGTTGTTCCCTCTACCTGGAACGCTTTTCCTCCAGATGTCCATGTGGCTCCCCCCTCACCTCCTTCAGGCCTTTGCTCAGAGGTCACCTCCTCAGGGAGTTCCCTCTGGTCATCGCCACGAGGATGCCCCAGCTCCTGGACCTGCCTGCCCCCTCCTTGGCTTTATTTTTCTTCATGGCACACATCATCATCTGGCTTATCACCATCTGTACACTGGACTCAGCTATTTTTTTGCAGTGTCAGTCTCCCCCGCTAGAAAGCCAGCTCTACCACGGCTGGGATTTTCTTCCTTCTCGTTCCCGGCTGTGTCCCCAGTGCCTGGCACACAGCAGGTGTATAATAAGTATTTGCTGGATGAATGAATAGCAGACAAGCCAGGATGGGCTTTTGAAGGACTCTTCCTTTGGGGCCCTTGCTCCAGCTGCTCTCCGTTGGCTTCTTGTCACCTGCTCAGACGGGCAGGTTGACCGGCTGGTCTCCGCCACCCAGCACAGCACAGTCGTCAATTCTGTTCCACCTTGTGACCAAACCATTTCCTTTGTCCGCAGGTGGCAAATGCAGGCAGTTGCCCCGCTTGTGCCGGAATTATAACAGGTGAGTCCATCGGAAGCGGGGCCAACGACCGATGGGCACCCGGAGACCAGCCCCGCGGCTGCCTCCCCTGCACAGAGCCTGCGCAATGGTCAGGAATGGCCAGCTGAGAGGGACGACATGACAGCCGAGCCCCTGACCCCTGCCCTGCCCACCCTGAAGGCAGCCGGTCCCTGGCGCGGCCCCAAGTGATCTGTTCTCTCCCCATGACAAGTAAAGCACTGTGGTCCTGCCCCCTGATCTTGGTCATCGTGACTGACAGAGGAGGACAGCGAGGGGTCGCATTCTCACAGCCAAGGGGGGCGGGGGACAGTGAAGGAGCCAGCGTGCATCGTGAGGTGGGAGGGGCAGGAGTGGCCCGCAGGGGCCCTGGCCACGGAGGGGTCAGCGCTGGATCCTGCCTGTGGCTGCTTGAGACCCCAGACAGGTCCCCTCGCAGAGCCTGGGGCCAAGGCCAGCTCACCCCGACAACCCGTGGTTGCGTTGGTCACTGCGAGCACAAAGGGAGGTCCCCGGCCCACGATGGCCCCCCTTGCCGCACACTTGGGTCCCTCCAGCACTGCGAGGGGGCTCGCACATGGGAGTGTGGACACCCTGCCTGCCCATCCGAGCTCCCGAGCTCCATCCGCACCCAACCCACAAATGACCACCTTGGGGCTACCTCTTGGTTTTGGGGTATGCCCCCCAAGAAGGCCACGTGGGCCTTGCAGTGGCGCAGAGCACTTGGGGGGGCAATTCTGGGGTCGCAGGGCCCCAGAGTGGGGTCGAGAAGGGGCGCAGGCTCCCCGGGCGCTTCTAAGGCCCTCGGGCTCTGCAGCCGGTGGGGGGCTCCCCCGGGTTAGGCTGAGCGGGCCCGGAGGCTGAGGCATCCTCTGAAGAGGGAGACGCGGCCTGTCCATCGGTGGCTGCATCACAATATTCCACCGCCTTCGGGTCACGGCCTGTTCATGGTTACACAGTCAGTTTAGTGGGCTGGGAGTTGCATAAAAAAAGAGAAAAAGAAGTAATGAAATAGGAAAGGAAATATCAGAGTACATCACAAATAATATGGCCTTCTTTCTGTATATATCCTCTGCTCAATTTTTGCCACATTGTCGTCCTACCTGGGTTTTTATTTACTTTCTTAAGAGATCAATTCCCTTTTTAACTTAAATAAGTTTATTTTAAAGGCATAATCATATATGGAAAACCAGTCCTGCTCCACATAAATAAAAGATAGCCAGAAAGACAAATCCAATGAAAACAAACATGTATGAGCTGTATATTGTATTTGTATATGTAATATATATCGTACGTGACATACATATTATATACGTAGAGGAGAGAAACAAAATATTTTTTGATTGGCACCCACCACCTGCTAATCAGGACAGACGCCTAGCCAGTCAGGAGGGAGGATTAGCATATAGATTACATATTACATATATGTTCATGGATAGTGTATTATGTCTATTAAATTGAATCAGGTGAAATTGTCACTATTCAAATTTTTTTGATCTGTAAACACGACAATTTCATAGGGCTTAACCTAATATATACAATGATCATATAAAATGTATTTCATACTGCAGGTCGCTTTTTAAAAATACCGAGAAGCGCTGGTCGAGGGAGTGTGTAGGTTGTCGTGGGGAGGAAACTAAGTTTCCTTCTTAGAACAGGAAACGCCGGCAGCCGCGTTTGCCCTGGAGGGGTGGCCACCCCAGTTTGTGGAAGATGTTCTAGGGCGGTATTTCCCAGACTTCTCTTCATAATTGTTGCCATTTTCATCCTGCTTGTACTGTTAATCACTTTTTTTTAAAAAAGATCAGCTCCCTTTTTTTTTTTTTTTAACTTAAATACATGTATTTTAAAAGGCACAGTCCTACATGGAAAGCTGGTACTGCTTGATATAAACAGAAGAAAGCCGTAAAGGTAAACCCAATGAAAACAGACAGGGAGACAGACACGCGGTGTTCCAGCTGGATCCTGAGTGGCTGCCCGGGGCTCTGAGCCAGAGGCCAGAGTCTGCTCCGCTGGAGGAGACCAGCAGGGGTCAGGGGTGTGGGTGTCACCTCACTGCCCAGACACCGCGGAGTCTGGGAGGCCCAAGACCACCTCATTTCTGACACCAGCTGCAAGGTGGAGTGTCCCCGAGACCGCCCCTGGGTTTGATGATTCACTAGAAAGACCCAGAGCTCACTGAGAGCTCTCATGCTCATGGTTATGGTTTATCACAGTGAAAGGGCCCAGCTTAGAATTAACCAATGGACGAGACACACACGGGGCAGAGCCAGGAGAGCTCCTAGCACCAAGCGTCGAGTCATCCTCTCCCAGTGCAGCCATGGACGGTGCCGACTTCCGGCAACAATGTGACAACATGCACAGAGTGCTGCCAACAAGTCTGGGTCCAGAGCTGTCACTGGAGCCGGTCACAAAGACATGGCTGACCATCCCTGTGGTCCTCGTAGTCTCCAGCTGCTCCAGAGGCTGAGCTGATACCTGTGGCCCAAAGCCCCCACCGTCAATCCCACTGTTAGAAACTACTAGGTGGGGGAGGGGCGGCCAGCCCAGTGGCGCAGCAGTCAAGTGCTTACAATCTGCTTCGGTGGCCTGGGGTTTGCCAGTTTGGATCCCGGATGTGGACGTAGCACCGCTTGGCAAGCCATGCTGTGGCAGGCGTCCCACATATAAAGTAGAGGAAGATGGGCACGGATGTTGGCTCAGGGCCAGGCTGCCTCAGCAAAAAGTGGAGGATTGGCAGCAGATGTTAGCTCAGGGCTAATCTTCCTCAAATAAAAGAAAAAAAGAAAAGAAACTATAGGAGGGCCCCCACGCCCTGGGTGGACAAAGACATTCTTCAGACAGGACCTTCTGCGGCTTAGAGATGAGCCTCTCTTTGGGGGAGGTTGATTCTTGACTGCGCCGAGCCTTCCTCCCTCATATCATTTGATGGATTGAGAGATGTTCAGAAAGTGATTTACCGTCTGGTGAAGCGATTCAATGAGAGTGAGCATTGTTTGTGGCCTAACACCGCCCGCTGCTGGAGCGAGCCTGACCCGAGGAGTCCCCAGCCCAGGGCGACCCCTGGCAGCCTCCAGGGCACAGGGCAGCCTCCTTCCCCCTCGCCCCATCCCCCAGCGGGGTGGAGAGGAGAACCTGGTGCTGTGTTTCCCAGCTGCCCCTGAGATGCGGCTCTGGATGTGGATTCGGCTCTGCTTCTGCAGGGCCCTCCTGTGAGGTTTGGAAGCCAAAAGAGACCATCTTCCTGCCTCACTGGCTGTTTCCCGCTGGCCAGGATGGCTGTGAAGGTGATGAGCTTTTTGGCTACACCATTCTGGTCACTAGCCTTGTGGACATTGAGGCAGTTATGCACACGCAGAAAAAGGATGTCTAAATGGCTAATAAACATGTGAAAAGATGCCCAATATCAGTTATCAGTAAAAAGTAAATGACAACCAGAATGAGACACCGTCACACACAGAATATCTAAAATGAAAAAGGCCAGCGGTTCCCAGTGTTGAAGAGGATGTGGAGGGGGTGGAATTTTCCTGCATTGCCGTCAATCGGAGGGTAAATTGGCACAATCACTTTAGAAACAGTTTCTTTAAAAGGTCATGAGCACATGACCCAGCAATTCAGTTCTTAAATATCTAACCAAGAGAAAGGAGACCAGACATCCACGCCAAGACTCGCCCGTGAATGTCTACAGCAGCAAGATTTGTAAGAGCCAAATGCTGGACACGCCCTGAGTGTGGATCTGCAACGCCAGCGGGTGTGGACTGTTGCACGCACGTGCGGGGGGGACACGGCTCAGCCACAGAGCGGGAGCTGGTCCCGAGCGGAGGGAGCGCAGCCTGTGCCTCCGTGGCCCTGGAGTGAGGGAACCCGCAGCAACTGGGGGCGACAGAAGCTGGACGATGGTTCCTCTGCTGCTGCTGCTGCTGCTGTGGCAGGGCGGATTGAGGGGCAGAGGGAGCGGCCCGAAGGCTGAAGCGTCTGCACCCCGAGAGTGGCGCAGACTACGCAATGTGCGCGTCCATCAGGAGTGACAGCCGACCCTAAGATTCGTGTGCTTTGTTATACCACAGCACAAAACAGCAAAAGGGAAAACAAAAAGGCAGTTATGTCCCGGATCAGACACGGAGCACGGAATTCTGAGGTCGCCACGAACATGGGGCCTCCTGATGGTGGAGGGAGATGCTGCCCAGGTAGGTGGGTTCTGTCTGTCGCTGTGAGACAATGGACAATGTATATATTGGGTTTTGCTCCAAGTTCCTGGCGCACAGCTCTTAAAACCTAGTAATTTCCTAAGTGATAAGAGCACCAGGAGCATGTCTTGTTCTACCATTTGGTCTTCGATGGTGGTTCCTGACACAGAGCTCCTAAGTCCCTTGGAATTTCCTGGGTGATTGGAGCGTCTTTTGTTCTAATGAGGTGACACTGGGTGGCCCCTGGATGGCGGCTGGTCACCACAAAGACCAAGTTGTGATGAGCACCTTGGAACTTTCAGCCCAGGTCCCTGTCCTCTGGGAAGGAGACGGGGGCTAGAAATGGACTTGATGATCCTTCATGCCTATGTGTTGAAGCCTCGATAAAAATCCCAAAAGTACAGGGTTCGGAGAGCTCCCAGGTTGGTGGACACATCCACGTACCAGGAGGGTGACACACCCCAAGTCCACGGGGACAGAGGCTCCTGTGCCCGGGGCCCTCCCAGACCTCGCCCCACGTGTCTCTTCATCTGGCTGTTCATCTGGATCCTCTAGCACGTCCTTTATCGTGATGACTGTCAGTGCCAGTGCCGCCCTGAGTTCTGTGCGCTGTTCCAGTGAACCATCGAATCCAAGGTCGGGGGATTCCTGGGAACCTCCAATTGGCAGCAAAGTTGGACAGAAGCTGCGGGTAGCCTGGGGACCTACTAGCGACTGACCTCTGAAGTGGACGGCAGTCTTGTGGGACCGAGCCCTTGACCTGTGGGTCTGCACTGGCTCCAGTGAGTGTCAGAACTGAGTCGTGCGCCACCCAGCTGGTATCACAGAGAGTTGCTTGGTGTGGGGAAAGTCCCTGCACATCTGCTACCAGAAGTGAGTGAGTGTGGGCGTCGCGTGAGAGTAAAGGAGAGACACACAGGAGGAGGAGCGAGGTTGTCCTTGCCGTCGTGTTCGGGGAGTCATTTGCAAAGTCAGCCTGGAGCCCTCTCCACCGAAGAGCTTGTCAGCCCCTCATTCCCTCTCTTGAGCCAGCCCACTTTTGCTTAAAACTGA